TCCTATGTACTAGTAAAGATTAAAATTGGACCTTCGAGTATTAAATAAACTGAGTAATTATGATGTAACCAAGAAAAAGAACTGAATGACATTTCTTAAAGATTATTTTTGTTTTATCAGTTTTTTAGATTTCTAAAAATGATTTCACTCGTTTCATTTTCTGACAACATTTTCTAGAGGTAATTTGGATTAACGTCAAGATAAGGTTGAATTCGTCGAGTCCTATGTACTAGTAAAGATTCAAATTGGACCTTCGAGATTAAATAAACTGAGTAATTATGATGTAACCAAGAAAAAAAAACTAAATGAATATATATGGAGCTCTTTGAAACTGTTCCCGCATATTCATGGCTATTTATTTATTTTCGCAAATAATGAAATTTACCTAATATAGTATAAAACTCATTGAAAAATTATCAAGACGACATTTGATAAATTCTTCCGATGTATTCCTTATTAAGGGTTTCACTGTAGTAAAAATTCAAATTGAACCTTCGAGTATTAAATAAACTGAGTAATTATGATGTAACCAAGAAAAAGAACTGAATGACATTTCTTAAAGATTATTTTTGTTTTATCAGTTTTTTAGATTTCTAAAAATGATTTCACTCGTTTCATTTTCTGACAACATTTTCTAGAGGTAATTTGGATTAACGTCAAGATAAGGTTGAATTCGTCGAGTCCTATGTACTAGTAAAGATTCAAATTGGACCTTCGAGTATTAAATAAACTGAGTAATTATGATGTAACCAAGAAGAAAAAAACTAAATGAATATATATGGAGCTCTTTGAAACTGTTCCCGCATATTCATGGCTATTTATTCATTTTCGTAAATACTGAGATTTACGTAAAAAATTATAAAACCCATTGAAAAGTTGTCAAGACCACATTTGAAAAATTCTTTCGATGTATGGCTCATTTAGGGTTTAACTGTAGAGTAAGAATAAAAATTAGGGTAAGTATCTGCTCACATGAAAGTGTTATTGAATCGTTTAGTAAGGATGAATCTTGGAGTAATATTAAAACTAGAATAAGAATGAATGCTGGAGTAAGAATATAACTAGAGTAAGGATGAACCCTGGAGTAAGAATACAACTAGAATAAGAAAAAAAAACTAGATTAAGAATGAATCCTGGAATAAGAATAAAACTAGAATAAGAAAAAAAAAACTAGATTAAGAATGAATCCTGGAGTAAGAATAAAATAAGAATAAGAATGAATCCTCGAGTAAGAATAAAATAAGAATAAGAATGAATCCTGGAGAAAGAATAAAACTAGAATAAGAAAAAAACTAGATTAAGAATGAATCCTGGAGTAAGAATATAATAAGAATAAGAATGAATCCTGGAGAAAGCATAAAACTAGGGTAAGATTTAAACTAGAATAATAATGAAGCCTGGAGTAAGAATAAAACTAGAATATGATTGAACCCTGGAGTAAGAATAAAACTAGAATAAGAATGAATGCTGGAGTAAGATTGATTCCTGTAGTAAGAAAAAAAAATTGAGGAACTCTAGACTCCCTTCCTCGCACTGTAAAGAGATCTGAAATTGCATCAGTTAGAAAAAAATGTTAAAAACCCTCTAAAAAAAGCTGTTTTACGAAGGAAAAATTGAGCATTTTCTGGGGATTTTTTTTATTATTTGATGAGGATTTTGTAGATTAAGATATGCCTTTCAGTGGATTTTTGACAATTTAGAGTCATGGGCACCCTGACGTATAGGAAAAACCTGAAATTCCTGATTCATTGGATTTTTAGGATTTTTACATACATATTTTTACCGAAGAAATGGTTAAGAAAATGTGTATATCATATGTATGGAAAATACGTATTTTCCATACATATTTTTACGTATTCCTAAATCTAAAAATACGTATATATACGTATGTCATACGTATTTTTACTTCAGTTAGTAAGGGTATACTCAGACAAGAGAGCATGAGCATAATCAACTTTATATCTGGTTGCATGGGGGAGAAACACTTCTGTATATGTATCACAGGAGGGATAGATTCCAAACCTCCCCCAAACAGTCTTCTGGGAATGATCTTCCATTTATAATAGTCTTTTTCTAATAAAAACGGGACTAATTCGATTATCTGAAAGGCTAGTGTTCGCGAAAAATTAAAGGGGGTTACAACGAAATATAATCGTTTTTTGATCGCTACTTATATATACTTAATAAAACAAATGACAAATATATTACGAACTATAAACGAATGCGTCAAAAAATAATCGGCGACTATAGGTTGTAATATCTGAAAGATTTGTTTGAAATTAAATTGATTTTTTACGATCAGAGTCGTATATTGCAACTTTCTGAATGTATGGACGCTACGTTCTTCAGTATAAGTAGTTTTTAACAATTTTCTCCTTAGACGCAACAGATAAATGAAAGACTAGTAGCGATCAAAAGCGATTATTTTTCGCCATATAAGCTTTTACTCTCTTTAAGCACGGTAGTCTATCTATAGTATCCAGATACAGGGGCCGATACAGGATTTAAGTGAGGGGGCAAGATTTTTTTAGGAACAAAAAAAATAATAATAAGGAACAAAAAATTGTGCCGCAGGCGAAATTTTTTTTTGACTTAAAAGACTCAAAAAGAGTCAAAATTAATGACTAAAGACTAAAAAACTAGATTTTTAACTTTAAGGAACAAAATTAACGGATTAGAACAGGAATTTAGGAACAATTAAAAGATTGTCCAGGAATTAGGAACAAAAAAAATGTTTAGGACAGGAATTTAGGAACAATTAAAAGATTGTTCAGGAATTAGGAACAAAATTAAAGGATTTGGACAGGGATTTAGGAACAATAAAAAGATTGTTCAGGAATTAGGAACAAAAATAATGGATTAGGACAGGGATTTAAGTTGGGTCGGACACAGTATTAGGAACAGGAACAATAATAGGAACATTAGCAATTTAAAAACAAAAAGAAATTACTAGTTATACTTAAATGCATCAAAATTAGGACCAATATTACAATTTTGATAAATGAGTATTGATTAAGGAACATTACTAGATATGAACAATATTATAATTTCTTACAAATTTCTAATTCTAAATTTATCGTTAACAATAACATTTACTTGTAATCGTTGATTTTTAAATTAAACTGAAGAAAAGAAAGTCAAGATTTCCATTAAATAAAAAAAGCTTGAAATTGAAAAACACATTCGATTTATAAAATTGGGAACATTTTTTGCCTCGAAATCTCACGCCCCTCCCTGAATCTGTCAGGAGGTGGCGAATGTCCCCCCGCCACCCCCCTGTATCCAGAACATTTTCCGATTTTTTTTCTGAACGTCCTATTTAAATGCAAGTAAACAATAATGTTTGGTTTGAGTGCCAAACTGTAGTGCCAACTGCATACAAAAGTTACGAGATTTGTGATTGAAACTATATGTGCAGTTCTGAGTTGCAGTTCAATTCTTAAGAAGAGACATTCTCACTTTTTAGAAAATGATCACTGTAAACTCTGGTTCATTTCAAGCACCGGGCCGACTTTTGATCAGCTAAAGCAAGCTGTATAGTACAAATACATAACGCAAACCGGACAGTACACGAATTGAACCAGTTCCCTTCTAGGAAGATTCTAGTGTGATTTATCATTATTATTATTATCTTGGGATTTTTAATCAGTTTTGCTGAATTTTGCAACCTTTGCGCACTGGGTCCAATTCGTTCAATAGACGGGTTAATACCGAGTAAATGTGTATGTATTACAATTACACTAGACCGTTTAATCCTCGTACTTGCGCGCAGTTGTAAGTCTGATAATTCCGCACAATTCTGGGCAACAGAATTACGATTAAAAATCTTGAAACATAACACAGCATAAAATATGAACAATAATTAACTGTATTTATATTTCTTACATTGTTACAAATTAAACTAATACTAAAAATAATAATTCAACTAGTTTGAGCATAAATAATAATCAATCATGAAACAGATTTATGTACAAAATTCATGATTAAGAACAATTGTACAATGTACATGATCAAAGAGTACATAAGCACAGTTAAAAAAGTACATGAGGGTAAAGAACACTGTATTCGGAAAGACGCTGGTTAAATTTAACTAATTTAATAAACTACATCGGGTTAAATACATCACTAACTAGAAAACTGTAAAATTAATTTCTGATTTTTAAAACAGACTAATTTCTAAAAATGTTTAGGGCACCTTTTTTCAAGTTTAATTAAATAAAAATAAAAAGGCGACAAAAATTTCACTGTTTTCTGGTTACCGCTGTATTATGATAAACTATTACAGATCTGGTTTAAAATATAGACAACATGTGAATTTATGGCAACGATTTAAAAATTTGGCACAAGTTAATAATGTTACAAATATCTCACTGTATGTTCAATGTTACAAATAATATGTTTAAATAGTCATAAAGGAGTGTTAAAAATATAATATCTATCATAGGATTAAATTTACATGCAAGGGTTGGGAAAAAATCAGGGAGGAAAAAAATGGCTTCTTGAAAATTTCAAAACAGCAAGGGTTTATAAAATATACGGCTTGTTAAAGGCAGTTTCTTCTCTTAACTGCCTTTCAGCCTGTAATTTGCCTAAAAGGCAGAGGAACTGGTTTCAGAGCCATGTCCAGGCCGTCCATGTCTCCTAAAGATAAACAAAATTAAACGATGAATAATTAAACGAAATAAAGGCAGTGAAAGGAAAGTAAAGTAATTAGAGGAATAAAGTAATATAATGAAAGGAAATCAAGATAATAAAAGGAACGAAATGTAACTAAAGAAAAATAAACAATGTAATGAAAGAAAGGTTTTGAAATGTAAGTAAGATAAAAAGAAGGAAAGTAAGGTAATGAATGGGATGGAAAGTAAGATAATGAAAGGAAGGAAAGTAAGGTATTGAAAGGAAAATAAGGTATTAAAAGGAAAGTATGATAATGAATGCAAGGAAAATAAGGTAATAAAAGGAAAGTAAGGTAATGAATGGAAGGAAAGTAAGGTAATGAAAGAAAAGTAAGGAAATGAAAGGAAAGTAAGATAATGAAAGGAAAGTAAGGTATTGAAAGGAAAGTAAGGTACTGAAAGGAAAGTAAGGTATTACAAGAAAAGTAAGATAATGAAAGGAAAGTAAGGGGAAAAAGGAAAGTAGAGTAATGAAAGGAAAGTAAGGTAATGAAAGGAAAGTAAGGTAATGAAAGGAAAGTAAGGTAATGAAAGGAAAGTATGGTAATGAAAGGAAAGTATGGTAATGAATGGAAGGAAATTAAGGTAATGAAAGGAAAGTAGGTAATGAAAGGAAAGTAAGGAAATGAAAGGAAAGTAAGGTAATGAATTAAAGGAAAATAAGGTATTGAAGGAAAGTAAGGTAATTAAGGAAAGTATGTATAGAAGGAAAGTAAGGTATTGCAAGGAAAGTAAGATAATGAAAGGAAAGTAAGGTAATGAAAGGAAAGTAAGGTAGTGAATGGAAGGAAAGTAAGGTAACGAATGGAAGGAAAGTAAGGTAATGAATTGAAAGGAAAGTCAGGTAATGCAAGGAAAGTAAGGTAATGAATGGAAGGAAGGTAAGTTATTGAAAGGAAAGAAAGGTAATGAAAGTAAGGTAATGAATGGAAGGAAAGTAAGGTATTGAAAGGAAAGTCAGGTAATGAATGGAAGGAAAGTAAGGTATTTAAAGGAAAGTAAGTGAAGTAGGACGGCCCTGCTTTAATTCTTTCTTCTCTCCTCCCACCCCTGCTTGTGCCAAACTATATGAGAGAATAAAGAAGACAAAGAAATGAAGAGAACAAAGAGAATAAAGAAGAAAAGATAAAGATTGTAGAGACCAAAGCCTCGAGGAGGTCAGTCTCGGAGGCTGTCATTTCTATTATTATATGAATAAAATTTGATTATGTGTTCTTATTGTATGACCGTTTATATGTAATATGTATGTTTGAATTTGTATCTAGAAAGTTGTTAAACCACTTGGCACTGGTACCTTCAAGCCAATATTAATACCAATGCATGACCTCGATTGCCGCGCGCACACATGGTTCAGGCTATAAAAGACCTGATTTTGATTCTGGTGGCACGCATTCTTAAACCAACCTGTAACCAGTAAACTTTAACTTATGTCTTAGTAAATAGTATACATAGTTTCTGCTTTAAGCATTAACTTCGTTTTATATATGTATGTATGTCTTAACAATTTTTGCTTTAAGCATTAATTCCTTCAAGCTATTTAATAGCTTTTGCTTACTTTATGTATGCACTACATTGCTGTTACAATCTTCACCCTTTTGCTTTAAGCATTTGCTTCAATAAATCTTCTACCCAGCTATATTATAAGTTATATACTGTGTGCTTGCATAAAGATTGTTAATAAATATCTTTTAACCATTATAGTTTTCAACTTTGCAGAGATAGTAGTTATACAGGAGTAGTTCTGTTCTAACTAGTAACTATCACATGTAGTAAGGCATCCTACTACATAAGGTATTTAAAGGAAAGTAAGGTAATGAAGTAAGGTAATGAAGTAAAGTAATGAAGTAAGGTAATGAAGTAAGGTAATGAAGTAAAGTAATGAAGTAAGGTAATGAAGTAAGGTAATGAAGTAAGGTAATGAAAGGGAAGAAAGGTAATGAATGGAAGGAAAGTAAGGTATTAAAAGGAAAGTAAGGTAATGAAAGGGAAGAAAGTTAATGAATGAAAGGAAAGTAAGGTAATGAATGAAAGGAAAGTCAGGTAATGAAAGGAAAGTAAGGTAATGAATGAAAGGAAAGTCAGGTAATGAAAGGAAAGTAAGGTAATGAATGGAAGGAAAGTAAGCTATTGAAAGGAAAGTCGGGTAGTGAATGAAAGGAAAGTAAGGTAATGAAAGGAAAGTAAGATTATGAAAGGGAAGAAAGGTAATAACAAGGAAAGTAAGGTAATCAGCTAAAGGAAAGGGAATAAAAGTGAGGTAATGGAAGATTTCTTACCTCATTTTTAATCTTGCAGCCATTATCTCTTTCCTTCCTTCCCTTCTCCTCCCCTCTAACATCCCTCCAACTCTCATCCTTTTCTTCATCTTATTCTCCTTCTCCATTCTTCTTCCTTCCTTCTGCTCTATTCTTCTATCTTCCATCGTAGCCATTCTTCTATCTTCCAACTCAACCATATAATCATTCTCGGCACTGTACTCGCGCAGATAAATTACCTGGAAAAATATACTTCTCAAATAGGAAATTATAAAATTTTATATTGACTGAAAACTAAGAGGTTGTAGTTAAATCAAATTACAGGGCTAGGAAATAGGGATGGCATTAGACTCCAGTAGTTGATTGGATGTTCAAGTCCATTTCATGTTCTGGTTTATCAGTCAGGACTTCTGTTATTTTAGTTAAAGTTAAAATTCCATTTGATTTGGTAATTTTTGAAGTTTCCAGTCACACGACCAAGTTTAGGCCATTCCTTAGAGTAACCGTCATTCAAGGTTTGTCTGACATTTAGGTAAAAGTTAAATGTAGTAAACTTCCCTGGCAAGTTGTAAGTTTCAGTTTAGAAGGTAAACAAGTTTAAGGTAATAAATAACTAAGTAAAGAAGGTAAACAAGTTTAAGGTAATAAATAACTAAGTAAAGAAGGTAAACAAGTTTAAGGTAATAAATAACTAAGTAAAGAAGTTGTATAAATAAGTATAAAAGATAAATTACTAGAGAAAATAAAAAGAGATTCTAAATAAATAAGAAGAATATAACAATTAAATAAAAGAAAATAACAAATATCAGAGGATAATAAACAAGGAGAAAAGATAAAAAATTTAAGATAACCAACTCAGAAGAAATTGAATAAGGAGAAAAAATAAAAAAAATAAGAGAACGAGAACAAAATAATAAAAACTACCTGTGAGTGCATGTAGTTGACCTCTAGGTCGGTCAAAGTGTGCAGAACGTTCCTGAGCTGGTGAGGGTCAACCTGGAGGTCAAAGTAGGTCACCATGCCGGTCACATACTCACAGTACAGGTAGTTGTGCGTGGTATTTATATTCCTCACACACCTTAATAGCGTCAATATTATTTTTAAATAAAATTTAATTTAAATCAAATCAAATAGAGATAGATATGTATAGAGATTTCTTATGGGCCGAGTTTCAGTACATTTATCAATAACACGGAAGATGCGGTCGTTTTTCTAGCTTTATCAAGGAGTATAGAATAGAAGGGAGATACAACTGACGCGGCTCGCCCTATCATATGATTATGCGCAAACGGTTACTCCATTTGTATAAGAAATATTCTGAATAGGTTAGTGTAAACGCGGTAATTGTACATCAGATAAATATTTCTTACACAAATGGAGTACCGTCTCCAAAGCATGTATAATCATATGGTAGGGCGGGCCGCGTCAGTTGTATCTCCCTTCTATTGCATACTCCTTGAGCTTGACACAAAGCTTTGAAGATTATCAATTTTATACCGACTTCTTGAGGTTGAAATTGAGGTTGAAGAACTTTTTTAATGGACTTAATGATAGTGAGCATTTTTGTTTTAAAGAGTATAAAAAGCCCTTCAAAACACATTATGATAAAATATGTGGCTCTTATAAAAATTTGAGGATAAACCCTTCATAAATGTTGAGGAAAATCAATATATGAAATTGTTGAGAATTTTATCATTTTCTCACCAGTAAGTATTATTATTACTGTTAGTACAGGCACAGAAACTTCCCTCAGTCCAGAGAGGAGCAGTCCTCCAGTGATCATTATCATGGGAGAAACAATTCATTTTCAGATCCTAAAAATGAAAGGAACTGTAAGAATAAATTCAAGTGACTTTCCATGCAAAGATGACAATTTTCGATTCACAACGATACTCTTACAAGCTTTGTCTGATCAAGTATGATTCAAACTATGAATCAAAATCGATAATTATAAATTAAAAACGGAATATTTTTAATAGTGGAATCACTTTTACCTTAGAAAAGCTACTATATCTTCCACATTACGGATCAGATAAAGGTTTTAAGGATACCGTTGTAAATCTGAAATTACCATCTTTGCATGGAGGGTCACTTGAAATTAAGCTTACAGTCCCATTTAACAAAATCAATTCATATCAAATAAAAAATGCAAGGATTAGCAGCTTCCGAGAGAAAATAATTCGATAACGCACGTCTCTAATTTTTGGATCTGAAAATAACGGCAAAAATATAGGAAATTTTTTCCCCCCCCGAATTGAAGAAACTGAATATTATGATGGAAAAAATAAAATGGTTTTCAGGCAATAAGTAACAAATATTGGTAAAGCCATGACAGTTTATGTAAAAATGTCCCCCCCCCCCCAATACCTTTAAAGGTTTAAGGGTGTTTAGATATTGAAATATATAAGTGAAAATAGGCGTTTTACTTGTTTGCAATGATCATTCTTCTTTGCAGAGTTCTTCTTTCTTTCCTTCTTCTCCATCTTTAATCTTCTTCTTTCCTTCCGACGCATTTTCTCCAATTTTATCTGCTCCCGGGTCCGCATCCTCTCCTCCCTACATCAAATAAAACATAATGTCCGATCATAACTCATTAACCCCGATTTGCCTCAAATTGGGGAACTCGACAGAACCATGGGAATTTTCTCAGCTTGGTTTGGAGTCTAATTTGAGTGGATTAGATAAACGCAAACTAAAATCGACCAAGGGCGGGTAAACGGCAAGAGTAACTATGTGTAACCTGAGCTGGGAACTTTTGAATGGTGGATATCGGGATTAAGACTTAATCCACTCTTTTTCTTAATCTCCAGATTAACATAATCTTGCAAGATTATCTTAAAAGTGTATGAAAAACGATAAAATTCAAATTAATATTTAATCATCTGAGAAACTGTAGCCGCCAATCAGAGAAAAGTGGGCAACCAATGAGAGAACAGAAATATTCTCATTGGTGAAAACAATTAACGGATATCCAAGGAGAGGGAAAAAGAGTGGATTAGGACAAAAATGAAAAGTTTTCACAGTGGATATTCGGATCAAGAAGTCAGGATTAAAGTTTATCCATTCTAAAGTTCCCAGCTCAGGGCAACTCTGGGCTCTTAATCTAGGTATTAATAATATTATTATTACAACCCTGCATTTGATTAAATAAGGGTCGGAGATTCTAGCCACCGAAACGTATCCATTGACTAACATAGAAATTTGAATTATCTAGGACTGGCGTCTCGACGCGTACGGTACTCTGCAACTCTTAATCTAATCTTTTATGTTTCTACAAAATTAAGTTTCAAAGGAAAAACATTAGTATCTCAAAAAAAAAGCCACAATGGTAACCATTGTGAATCAGACAAGACATTTATGAATGGATGGTCACCTAATATAGCATCTGCATTCCCTTTAACCATGATTTGATATTGATCAGTCCAATTATCATGATGATCATTTATCAATTCAGGTTTTTAAGAAAAAAGGATTTTAAGATGATTTTATAATCGTTTAAGAATTTTGGATGAATTATTCAGAGTCACGGTTTTTTTTAAATATAAAACTTGCTTTAAATAAATAAATAAAATGGTCAACCATCATCCCAAGGGAGTCAGGGTTAAGCTCGGAACAGCTAACGCCAAAACAAATCCGGGAGATGAAAAGGTGAAAATCTACGACGCCTTTCTATTTAGCTGTTGTTGTGGAGTTTCTACCTGATCAGCTGACGATCCAGTTCCTTCTTGGTCTTGTGCTCGCACACGCATATCTCCGAGTTATCCCAGGCATCCTCTGGAACAGCCTCAATATTGTAGGCTCGGAGGTCCAGGGGGAGAACGCGTCCACGGCTACTGGTTTCAGGACGTCTAAAATAGTCAGTTTTGCCATTTACGCCTTCAAATTCATTACATCGAAGTTCACTTCTTATTAATATTATTATTCCAGATAAACTTAAATGGAGTCCCGGGTTAGAACCGGACCTAGCCTAGCTCAGGTGAATCTTTAGGTTCGTAGATCCGCAATATACAATACAAACTTCCAGAAAAATAAGTAAACTTTTTAAGGATAAACTTAAAATTTAGGCTGTACTAAAGGATTCTTTTTAAGCAAAAAAACTTCCTATTTATGTTGAAATCAAGAAATTTCTGCAGTCCTATAGGTAGGCTAGAACTATAGAATTTTCTTGCTGATGGAGTTTAAAAGTTTTCGCTGACTGTAGGCAAAAAGTTGTAGTTGGGGCTGGATCCTCCCCAACGAAAAGTCCTCATTTCTTTCAAGGGGAACAGGCATAGCACAGATATCCCCCCCCCGTATATGCCTTATGTACCCTTATTTATGAACCCTATCCCCTATATACTTGAAAATACTTTCACTCACCTAATCCTAAGATATTTTCTGATTTGCTTGAGTTCATTCAACTGAGCCCGTAGACGCTGGATTTGCTGTTTAACGGTGTTCCGACTAATCGCCCAGGTCTAAAGTCAAACCAATTAATTACTTTACCGCCCTTTGACTTACATTACCAACCTATGATTTCCCAAACAGAGGGAAGTTAAGTTACGCTTACGTCCCTTGGGACAATTAAGTAAAAAATGATATAATTCGAGTATTTTCATATCGAAAGGGGATAAATTGTGTACAACTACTTTTTTACTTTACCAAGGGCTCCCTTGGCCAATTTTGCCTAAAAAAGCATCCCTCGCTGCGCTTTGGATGTTTTCGTAGGCAAAATTAGTCTTGGAAACCATTGGTGAAGTAAAATTCTCTTAACTTCCCTGTAAAGTAGTTGTAAATAATTATTTATGGTTGTCGTTGTAATTTCACATGAGCTTCCATTTAAAGAGGGCCACGCCAAATTCACAGCGGAACCCTTAAAACCACAATCTGATCACTTATGTGGAAAAAATTATCTTTTACTAAAATTCTTACAATTTACTAAATTATTTCCGTAGAAAATGATCAGATGAAGCCTAGCAAGAAGTCAAAAGATAATTTTGCAAGTCACAACAGTATCGTTTGTAAAAATATTTTTGAACCAAAAAATCCAACATAAGAATTAATAAAAGTTTATTTAAATGCGGAAATATTTCATAGAAAATGTTAAAAACATTTTACTACAAAATTTCAACAATTAAGAAATACCTTTTTATCGCTGACAATGTCGTTTGAGCAGACAACGTTCTCTCTGTCTAGCTTACATCCGCCTAGGCTGTCATCTGTTCCGTTCTAAAAATCAGGCTATAATATTTTCCGTTTTGAAAAATCAGGCTATCATCTATTCCGTTCTAAAAACTCAGACTGTCATCTGCTCTCTGATAAAAAATCGGACTTTCATCTGTTCCGTTCTAAAATTCAGGCTATTATCTTATCCGTTTTGAAAAATCAGGCTATCATCTATTCCGTTCTAAAAACTCAGACTGTCATCTGCTCTCTGATAAAAAATCGGACTTTCATCTGTTCCGTTCTAAAATTCAGGCTATTATCTTATCCGTTTTGAAAAATCAGGCTATCATCTATTCCGTTCTAAAAAATCAGACTGTCATCTGCTCTCTGCTATAAAATCGGACTTTCATCTGTTCCGTTCTAAAAATCAGGCTATCATCTGCTCCGTTCTAATAAATTAAATAACATACTAGGCTAAGCTCTGGAGATCTATAGGGCCAAATAGGTCTCACGGGAACGGGGAAAAAACGTAAGCAACGTCCTTCAAAAAAAATTCTCCCGAAACAGCGATTTAAATGATTTAGGAATCTTAATCTTGAGACTCTAAAAATCGCACAAAGTTGCGCGGGTCTAAGCTTTAGTTTGAATTACCAGATTATGAAGATCTCTGATTTCTTCAGCAATATCTTCTACAAGTCCATCAACCTCTTCTAGTTCATCGTGAGCAACATCCTGGTCAGTTTCAACAAAACATTAAACAACAATGAACAAATCAAAATTGATCAAGCCATCAAAATAAGCAAATAAATAAATTAAAAATCAAATCGATAACTAAATGAATCACTGCTTCAATACATATTTGCATTGCACCAATGAATCAATGAATCAATGAAATGAAAATAAATTAATTATTGAACCAAATAATCAATGAATTAATTAACCAGAGAATCACTGAATCACTGAATCAATGGATCAAAGAATCAAAGAATCAAAGAAACAAAGAATTAAAGAATCAAAGAATCAATGAAATAAAAATAAAATGAATTATTGATCCAGCGAATCACTGAATCACTGAATCACTGAATCACTGGATCACTGGATCACTGGATCAATGGATCAATGGATCACAGAATCAATGGATCATCAATGAATCAAAGAATCAATGAAATAAAAATAAAATGAATTTTTAAAACAGAGAATCAGGAATCAATGAACCACTGAATCGCTGAATCACTGAATCACTGAATCACTGAATCACTGAATCACTGAATCACTGAATCACTGAATCACTGAATCACTGAATCACTGAATCACCGAATCACCGAATCACCGAATCACCGAATCACCGAATCACCGAACCACCGAATCACTGAATCATTGAATGAATCTATGAGTCATTCATATGAATAAGATGATTAGGGTAAATTAAGTCATACAAAACTAAATCAATGAAGAAAAAAACATCAAATTATTGATAACCTCAAAAATATGATCGAAATGTAGATCATCAGCACCTCTAGCTGTTCTACTTTGTCCAACTGCGTATCTGAAAAATTTATAACAAAAAATAATGCTTTTGACTCTTCAAAATTACTTATTAGTTATGTGTCCTCGCTGTAAAATGTTTAAACATTTTTCATATTTTATGAAAGTATTCTTATCTTACCTAGGAAGAGTCTTGAGAAACTTTTGATTTAGTTTTCTGGATTTTGGAACATGCTGGCGTAGAAATCTTTTTTGCATCTTTTTTTCATCAGCATCTAGAAATGAGTACTTCTAATAGAAAAGAAAAAGCAGCATACCCGATTCACAACAGTATTCTTTAAACCTTTGCATGATAAACAATTTGAAAGATATTGGCATTGTTAAAGTGTTTATTTCTTACATTGTCTCTGCAGTATTAGTATGCAAGTCACGGCCACAGAGAAACCACGCTAAGAAGAATAAATTTTCCGCCAAAAAACAAAACCGAAAAAGTTCTCTGTTTTTACACGTACATAAGTTTCAGGAATACTATTGTGAATTGGACGTTTAACTGCTAAAATTACGTTAACAGTCTCTTTAACCCTAGAACTACACCGTGTCCGTGTAATCGCCGAATTACCTAGTTTTGAATATTTCCAGCCGTAAACATCTCCCGGATTACAATGACAGCTACTTTTCCTCTCGGCCAAACCAAACCTCTCCGCTATGCCCATTCTAAATTGAAGATATTTTTAATCAAAACATTATAATTTTTCATTTTTTAAATAACCAATTCTTCTGAAGAAAATAAATATTGGTTCATTACAAGATTCTTAAGAGTTTCAACATCAAGGTTTATGGAACTGTAATCGTAATCTCAAGTGACCCTCCATGCAAAGAAGGCAACGATTCACAACGATTAACCTTTAGCGTTTGATTCTGATAATTATCCCATGTTTTATGGCAGAAGAAATACAAATAGTCATTATTGTAGGATCAACAACATTTAAAATAAATAGTTTTCAAAATTAAATGGATTGTTATTTGAATTCACGCCTTTAGTCCCTTGAAGATAAACTTATTTTTATATTTAACCTGCAACGTTTTATTTTGAAATCACCGTCAGATTTCTCCTTGCAGTACAGTTTCTGGTGGGGTGTACATGGGGCCTAGAGTAATCATAATAGTAAGCTGCTTTTTCTTTTCTCCTTATGTTTCACGTTTTGACTCATTTTAAAATAGATCTGACCATGAGCAAATACCAAAACGGTTCCCAAGGTGTTCTCTGTTTTTCCGTTTTTTTCCCCGATCATAACTCAGGAACCCCCGGACCAATTTGCCTCAATTTTTGATTGTGGAATTTTCACTGGAATTTTCTTAGCCAGGTTGAGATTCTAAGTTGAGTAAGTCGTCTTTAGTTTCCCAGTAAAAGTCGACCAAGTATGTAAACGGCGGGAGTAACTATGATTAACCTGGTCAACGCTGGGTTCCCAAGTTAGTAATATTTAAAATCAAAGCAAATCATATTTTACAATTTTAGGTCGGTCGGTTTCTCTAGGACAGATAAGCCCCTTCGGGACGCCAATGTAATAAAGACTAGTTGACTCCAAGGTTATATAATAAGGTTGGTTACTCGATGCGCTCAAAAGTACGGAAAATGTCGTCTCCAAAGATAGATAGATAAAACCCTAATATGAAGTCACTGATTATAGAGTGACGTCATATTAGGTTTTTATCTTTATAACTTCTTAGGAGACGACATCTCCCGTACCTTATTATACAACCTTGGTTGAGTCCCATACCTTGTATCTAGGTTTCTTGCATTCAATCTTTAATCGTTCTTGTCTGGTCAATTCTTCACTGGTCAACAAATCCTGGACAAAGTTTTAAAATAAAATAAAAATTTAGATTTATGCACAAAAAGTTTTTGTGGGGTGAGAAAAAAAATGTTCTAAAAAAGAAAAGAAAATGCAAACCTGAAATTCTGAATCTAGCACATCATTGCTTGATTGTGAAACCTGAAACATTTTGTTGAAAATCCGATTATACATGTTTTTATTAAGCTTTGAGGGACTGTATGCGTGGTATCAATAAGCCCTCTATGCAAAGTTGGCAATATCCGATTCACACCGGTACCTTTTTCTAGATACAATTACAACAATTGAAAAAAATCAGTTTTCAAAATTATGAAAATTAATATCTGATTCATACTTGATCAGACAAAGATTTTAAGGGTATCGTTGTAAATTGGGCATTTTCATCTTTGCATGGAGGGTCACTTGGATTAACGCTTTAAGTCTCTTTTAATTATTCTTACTATCATTTCAAGCTGAATGCGGAAATATGCAATTTTCACGGATTTAAGTATGCACATTGCGCACTATTGAAATTCGAATGCCCCGTATAATTAACAAACCTTGGCGTATCGCTGGAAAGTCATTTTCCCTCTCTCGAGAAGGATTGCTGAGCGCCAGGGTTCAGGTTTAGGTGCTCCAGGTGCAGGTTCAAATAGGGTAGATAATATACTCTTACCATCCATATGCGGGGGTTTCTAGATACGTCATTTATTTAGAACAGGGGGTAAATAAGTCACTAGGGCAGGACACATTTTTGTTTTAGTGTTAGTTTCAGGTTTTATAAATTAAATCGTTTCAGTTTCTAAATGAACGGTTCTAATTTCAATGGTAATTATATTCAAACACTTTCATTAAAAGGAGATTCCATTCATGAAATTAAAATCACGATCGTTTTCCGTTAAACAATTTGAAAGAGTTGAAGAGTTGAAGAGTTGAAGAGTTGAAGAGTTGAAGAGTTGAAGAGTTGAAGAGTTGAAGAGCTGAAGAGTTGAAGAGTTGATGAAGAGTTGAAGAGTTGAAGAGTTGAAGAGTTGAAGAGTTAAAGAATTGAGTTAGAGAGGTGGAGAGTTAGTGAGGTGAAGAGTTAGAGAGTTAAAATTTGGTGATAATAAAAGAAAGCAGATATTATTTCTTCATGAAAGTTCTGAAACCTGTAATCCCGCAATATCCAGGAACGTTGGAGCGAGATCTATATTGAGAACAGGTTCCTGTAGAACTAGTCCGCTAGGAACACCAGGACCTCGGACAAGGAAGGGAACCTGACCAACTCAGATTATTCTCAGGGGGTTTCATATAGCATGGGATAATTACAACTACTATGACCAGTATATTTATTATATATGTTAGCATTAGCATGGCAAAACTGATTGGTCGAATTGGCTGAATTTTTTTAGGGAACCCGTGGGTGCCCGGGGGGTGACTTAGGCTTAAAAATAGATTTAATTTCTTCAAATTTTGATTTTCCTTTAATTTTTTTAATCCACGGGCAACGCCCGGCACTTAAGCTAATAATAAATAAAAAGCTAGGGGGGGGGGAGAACAATAACTTTTGTAGAATAATCCCTTGGTGTCAACATCGAAAGGAAAAGCTTTTCCTTTCACCAGTCCGTACTGTCCTAAAATAAAAAGTCAAATTGTTTTAAATCCATGTAAAAACTCTCAGAAGGTTAAAAGTTGAAAGCTGTTGTAATTCTCCCATTCTCTTATGGGGAAGAGAATTCAATCTAAATTGAAAAATTTTTCCTTTTTTAATTTAAGAAACTATAGAGGAGGACATTTTAACCAAAATTTAATTCTTAACTCTGTTTTACTACATTTTTCAAACTGAATAAAACTTTCTTTCTTTTTCTTGAACAACCCTTTTTAAAAAAAAATTTCTTCCCTGTTTGGTCAAAGGAAATTAAGTTAATAAACACCTCCGCCCCTCTCATCCNTACCTAAATGATATCCATGGTCCGAGGTGTAGAAGATGAAGGTGTTGTCTAACTCATCCAATTCGTCCAACACAGTGACGATTCTCTCAACGGCATCGTCCACGGACTGCAGGGTTTGCAGACGTTTCGTCATCAACATGTCAGTAAAATGCTAAAATAGAAAACATGTCAATTAAATACCAGAATGAAAACACGTCAATTCAATACCGGAATGAAAACATGTCAATTCAATACCGGAATGAAAACATGTCATTAAAATGGCAAAGTAAAACTACTATAAACTTCTAATGCCTTAATAAAACAGTAAAATGCTAACATAAAACATATATGAATTCTAGAACAGAACAAAAACAAATTTTGATTATTAAATTAAACCAAGTTTAAAACTTTTTTTTTCCAAAACAAAAAAATACAACTTCCCAGAAAAACGCTTTGTCTAATTACTTATTTTTTTAAATACTGTAATTAATTTATCTTTTTCCTAAAATCGGAGTTTTATGAAGGCTGATTTGAAGTTCAACCCTAAAATGAAGAAAATTTTAAACCTTATGTATAGGTTGCATCTTCTCTGTATGCCTGAGGATCCACTGCTTGTCAGGGTTGGGCGCAAAGTCGTAGGCCGGGGTGTGGTGGGTTGTCACGTTGAAGAACAGGTGCTGGTATTGAGGTGCAGAGTCCTCCGGTCCATGAGGTCCTGGACAATAGACAACAGGGTTTTATATTTTCTAGAAAAATCATTTCCCCCCTCACTTATCTTTAAAAATCGTTTCCCCAAGAGTTAAGCTTTTAAAGGGATTTTTCGGGTGGTGGACAAGGAGTACAATAAAAGGACTGACGTGATTGTTTTAAGTGACCCTCCACGCAAAGAGGAGTATGTCCGATCCACAACAATACCCTTTAAACCATTGACCAATAATGTGAAAGTTAATTTAAGCCATTTTCTAGATTGAAAATTCTAAATTTTAACTTTCGACAATTCCTTTCGTTGTTTCATAGCAGAAAGCAGCAATGATCAATTTTACAATAAAAAAAACAATGAAAATCTAGTGCATTCTTGATCAGACAAAGTTTAACACGTCATTTCATTATTAAATCGAATATTTTCAACTGGGCATTAAAAAAAATCAAAAAAGGTTATTATACACCGATCCCGGATAAATAGCTAAATCAAGTTAAAAAGTGGGCTCTAAAAAATACAGAATACGTACTAAATGAAGGATGAATGAAAGGATGGCACATTAAAATACAAAAAAAAGGACGATTGAACAATAAACATAAGGAGGAATATGTGATCAAATGAATGGCTATAGGGAGTGTTAAGTTTTAGGCTGAGATAGCAGTGTTGTAGAGAATTATTTTAGAAATCATTAGAGACTTTTAAGACGATTGTGCGGTTAAAATTGATCTTTAAAATCCTCCTAGATGAATAGGTGAATAAAGAGAAGGATGAATAAATGCATAAATGAATACATGGAAAGGAAAGAAGGATGAATAGGTAAATGAATACCTGGATAGGAAAGAACTGTCAGAAGAGGTGTATTTGGATCCATAGCCTTACTCCATCGAAGGAAGTTCAAACTCCTGAAGAAAAACAAAATTATGCTTTTAACAAAAAATACAAGTTAATGAAATTACAATAATTCCGTGCTTAGCGCCCGAATCTATAACTTTTTAACTTCTTGCATCTGTAACGTAACTGCTTCCAATCTGCACAAAAATCACAAAATCTACGGATCCCGATGAAAGTTTTCAAAAATTCGCTAAACTGTATAAAAAATCCGCCAATCGAATTCCCTAAAATCTGTAAAATTCAAACCTGTTTGTAATAACGTCCGGAAGATAATCTCTCTCATAATCAAACCCATGATGATGAATTTGGCCTAGAAACAATAAATATAATTAAACTAGGCTATCTTCTATTTCAACATTTACTTGTGGTCACGTGAGGTCCCGCACAAAATTTGGGCCCGATCGGTTCAGCCGTTTTAAGGGTTTATTGGATACAAACAGACAGACAGACAAGCAATCTAAATATAAAGATTAATATGATTGAGACACTTAACATCTAACTAGGTTTCAGAAAAACAAGCGTAATTACAAGGGACCCTCCATGCAAAGACAAAGACAATATGCTCGATTAACAACGTAAAATTTTAAAGCATTATCTGATAAAAGTATAAATTTAATATCTATCTTGTTTATTTTCATTAGTGTTTTCTCTACGAAAGTGACAAGCGAATTTCAAGCTTATAAAATTTTTTGATCATATTAAGGTTTCAAGGGTACTCTTGTAAATCGAGCATTGCTTTCTTTTCATTGAGGGTCACTTGAAATTCTGCTTACAGTCCCTTTAAACAATAACATTTAACAAGTTTAGAACTGACCGTTAACGTTAAGTGAGTAGTTGTAGAATCTCGAGTTTCTAACAAGACCGTGCCATTCTCCCCAGCCAGTGGGTACCCGGGTACCATGGTACTTGTTTAGGTACTTTCCAAAGTACCCAGTGGAGTACCCAGCATCCTAAAAGTAATACAGGATTAGGACCCGAATTTATTGAATTGCGAGAAGTCGTTGAATTACGTAGAGACGGTTCAACCGCTTATATTTTAATTGAACTTTAAATCGGAGATTCAAGATTAAACCCAGTGAGCACTTGAGATAGTTGAACCGACAAAAGGTAATTCAGCGAATTTTTGGTGGAGGGTGGGGGGGGCGGACGGTTATAAAGAACATCTATACTGTACAACAAACTTATTGTACTGTACCTGAAGGTATGCTCCGAATGATCTTGGTTCGTGGTTTTCAACCCAATATGTACTGCTACAGTTATCATTGTTCGTGTACACCTATAGTACAGCACATAATGTACATATTTGTACATGTAATTTTAACTTTTAACAAACCCTACATTACTGAGTTACAAACCTGAGGCCGAATTTCAAGAATTTGAGCCGCGGCTTTAATTTAAGCTGGGGCTCAAATATGGTTGGTTTCACTTAAAATCGTATTCATTGTTTCAAGATTTTAACTGGAGCTTAATTGAAACCGAATTTTAGCGGATTTAAGACGCGGCTCAAATTTATTAAATTCGGACACAGATTCTTTAAACTTCTTGTAATTTCAAGTGACCCTCCCTCGCTGCAGAGATGGCAATGCCATATTTACAACAGTAAATCAAACTTGGTGGGTGCCCTCTCCATTCCCCTGGCTAGCTTGTATCAAATTTTGGCAAGGCGCCCAGCAGTGGAAGTGGGCCGCATCAGCCGCTAAAGCTGTTGTCTGATCCAGTACTAAGAGTACTCATCAATGATTATAATTGATTATCATCAGTTTTGATTTCCAGACAAAAGTGACTTGCGCATATCTACGGTAGGAGAATATAAAGGAATTAACTGAATTAAAGACGTATAAACCTAGAAGACCGCAAATATCTTAAATGATAGAGATTTCAAGGGTACCGTTGTGAATCGGTCAATGCCATCTTCGCATGCGGAGTCACTTGAAATTGCGTTTACAGTCCCTTTAGGCACAAAACATAATTCTATATAAGATAATTAACCCAGATTTTATAAATATTCAGGGGCGTAAATAAGGATTTTCTAGGCGGGGGGGGGGGGAATTTAACGTTTTGCACCCCATTCATGATGGGTTTTAGCTGGGTTTGATTTAAATTTCCCAATAATTTCTGGGATTAACAAACTATATCAAATAAAAGGCTTCCTTTACCACCTTTCAGCTTTCTCAATTTATACCCTATAAATTGAGACTTTTTCAACAGCTTATAAAATAGCAATGTGAAAAGTCCGCAATGATCAGTCCCCAGTTCCCTGGGAACAAATTAGTTCCAGTGTTTTGAAAAATTTTCACCAAAAGAAGATTAAGGTCATGAAAGAAGAGTGAATGAAAATGCTTTTTGGCAGGTTCTACATCAAAAACTACCATGCGAATTATAATTCATATTTTCCTCTAAAAGTTAAGGACCTTAATGGAATTTTTTTAAACATGAACAGAGACTTCCTTTGGAGCTAGTATTTCTCATGAAATTTCTTTTAGTGTACATTGTAAACAAAAACAAACAAAATTACGCTTATTTTATAATTCGTGGATTTTCAAAATTTTAAAAGATCGAATTTTGTTTGAGGTAAATTTTGGAAAATTCGATCATTCATAAACCTTCCCTGGGGTCACGCGAGGTCCCACAAAAAATTTGGGCCCACTCGGTTAAACCGTTTTGACATTTTTGGATACAATTACGGACAGACAACAAACAGAGAGACAAGCATATACTATAGTGCAAGTACGCTCTTGCAATAAAAAATCTATTTTTGGTAAAATTTAGCTGTGTTACTTTGTTTAAGTTGATTTAGTAAAATTATCTGCGCACCTGCGCGAAGCGCCAAAAAGTTAGTTTTTCTTTTTCCTCTAAATGGTAATCATGGACATGGAGAATGGAGATCAAGTTTCTAAACGGGGATATTTATATCCCCATGATTCTTGGGGGGGGGGGGGGATACCCCCAATAACTACCCCTATTTACGACCCTGTACATATTCAATCCAATATTTGATTCAAATTCAATAAGCTCCATAACTATGACAGCCTGCATAAAACTTAATGAACATACAGGGTTACCCACAGAGGGAAAAAAGTACGTCTTCAAATAACTCAATAAATTTCGAACAGTCGTCTCTGAAATCCCATCCTTTGTGGTTAACCCTGTACGTAAAAACAAAATAAAAAGAGGCGAAAAAAACATTTACAAAAATATACTAAAACTACCTTATGGTTGTGTACATACAGTCCTGTCAACAGAGAACTCCTGTACATAAAAATAAAATTAAAACAAAACACAGGGCAATTAATTTTCTTAATTTTAACCCTTCCCCCTCCTCATCTGAGCCCCTCCCCCTCTATGTATACCTGCTAGGACAGCACATAGGAGTGCTTACAAATCCATTAGAGTACGTTGTTCCCGCCTTGCCCATATACTTGGCTAGTTTAGGCATAAACTGCAGAGACCCCAACTCAACATCCTGGAATGCAAAATAAAATTAACATTTGTAAGTTTTTATTTAGCTAAAGTGGTCGGCGTTTATATTAGTACAATGAAGCAACTTTTCTATTAAAGTTTTGATTTATAACAGGCTTTTGTTAAATTACAAGTTTACAAGTAAACAAAGAGAAGCTTCAGTATCCTGAACACCTTAATCTGATCAATAATGTGGAAAAAACGTCGTTTCAAAAACTTATTAAGTGTTTAATTCTATTAATTTCTCCATTGTTCTCAAATAAGAAACACGCATATCTCTTTAGTAGAGAAACTACAAATGAAAAAAATAAATTTAAAAAAAAAATTATAATTCATATTTGACCAGACAAAGGTTTCCAGGGTGCCGTTTTAAACAGAGAAATGCCATATTTGCATGGAGGGTCACTTGAAATTACGCTTTTGGTCCGTTTTCTGAAAAGTAAAAATATTAATTATTGATAAATTAAATGGTTAGATTCATCGAAAAAATTGTAATCTATTTACGCATGAAGTTCTTGTTAGCTGAATAACAATTGCATAAAAATGACCTGATCGTCTGTAAGAATAAGGATGATGTTTGGTCGTTTTCCTTCCTTTGCCTCATTCCTTACCCTTAAAAATAGTCGTCAGCATAATTAAGTTACATGGATGATCTTCGAAACTTTGAAGAGGAAAAAAACAAATCATTTTAACTTTTTTTCTTTTTTTCCTTTTCTGGTAGACGAAAACCAGCGGTTATAACTCCTTTTTATTATAAAATGAAATTCAAAGATTTTGAAAACCAAAGCCAAAAAAAAAAACTTTATTCGATCAATAGAACGACCCATTTTTTAACAAAAAATGATCTTACCTAGCGGTATAGACAGGTTTAAATTGTTTGGTGCCATAAGTCGGAGATTGAGGATTTCTCAAGGTTGATCCCCGCCCACCTCCCATCTCCGATCTGATAAAAGAAGCCTTCCCACCGCTCTTCTCCGATCTATTGAATGGTGCTCTGAAAACAAAACACAATCAAATCACAATCAGAAAAAAATTCAGAAGGCGAAAGTTCAAAGCTAACACATTTTTACTAGAAATTTTACGCGAAGATTTGTATTAACTAAAACGGGACTATCATCTTTTCAATTTATTTAGCTATTGGTTGCAATGCATATGTTATATTTCAGTTTGGATTCATGGAAATCATCCAAACAATGCAATGCAGATCAAAATTAGCATTTTGAGGCAAAAAAAAATCTTCCGAGGACCTGGCATGGTCTGCAACAAACTGTTACCTGCGATTTTGTCGTGTTTGCTGGCCCGCCTTAGCAGCGGTCATGACTAGAACAGCTGACAGCAGCAGAAAGGTGACTATATTCATTTTTAAAGCTGAGTATAGATGGCGTTGACGGAGAAATTTTTGTGCGAGATTCTCGATTAATCGTCAAGTGTGGTAAAATCAATAAAACCTAAAAATATACATTTCTGAATAAATAACAAAAACAATTATATAAAGTTTAAGTGTCCCCAGTTTAAGAAGGGCATATTGAATTTAGATCTGGTTCCCTTAAATCTTTACTTAACTAAAAATTGGATCACAATCTCAACGCGTTATAAGCGTAGTTAATTTCCTGAAGTAAATCCCAATGTCACTTTTAAACGAGTTTTATAACAAAAGAAAACAATCAATAATCAATCAATCCACGAGGAAAACATGGATATTTCATTCATTCATAATTATACAAAGCTTAAAGTTTTCCGTTGAGAATCGGCATGCCATAAAGCCAATCCTAACATTTCTTACTTGATATCAAATAGATTATCAAGAGCAGTAGGTGGCAACAGAGAAATGGACTAATTATACACGACGTCACAAGTGTCAAATATAACAAGGAACGAAATTGTCTCACATTAGTTGATATGTTTTCCAAGATTAAACAAAAAGTGTAAAAACAGAAAATAAAGAATTCATTAAATTGAAATTAATTTGCTGAAAGATAAGCACTTTATTGTAAATTTATCACTATTATTAATAATTTTGTCGGATAACAAAACTAAGTTGACATTTATGACGTAAGAATACAGCTGTACTGAGAACAAATCCTGCGTTGCCATCTATTGTACTAAATCTATTTGCTTAAAACTATGAATTATTTACGATTAAAGGGACTGTACGCGTGATTTCAAGTTACCCTCCGTGCAAAGATAATTCCCAACGGTTCCACTGAGACCTTTATCTGATCAATAATGTGGAAGATTTCTAAGTTTAAAATTGTTAAAAAGCTTTCAAGGATACAGTAGTGCATCGGGAATTCCCAGCTTGAAGTTACGCGTACAGTCCCTTTAATCATAAATAAAAATGAAAGTCCATTTAAAGGAAATAGGTTTACCTTTGTTATTAATATATCTGTGAAGATGAATATACACTATACAGGATGAATCTTGAAAGTAGAGAATGAATGCATGAATGATGAATGCATGAATGATGAATGGTGGCACAAATTAAGTTTCTATCACATTTTTGTTACTTAAATCCTTCTACAAGGATCTGAAAATATTTTTAACAGAGTTTAAAAAAAATTGTTTAATTCATAATTTGGAGAACTAAACATCTTTTACAAATTAATTTCTATTCCACAATAACCATTTCTATTTCAGCACATCAGGTAACTTGAGAAATGAAATAACAAGTCAATGAAAAATACACTTTTACAACGTCTGGAAATTTACATTTAAGTTATGTTTTACCATCATTTCCCAACTATCAGAGTCATGATATTTTACAGACATTCATGTTAAAATATCCTTGATAATCCATATTTTAATCTTGGGGAAAAACTAATTTTGTAGAGGAGACCCATGTTCTAGAATTTTTCACAAAAACAACATTTAATATTAAATCTTGTATCGAGAAAGATCAATCAAATCTTGATTGAAGAATATACGAATTCAATTTAAATCTTCTCTGAAAATTTAATGAATCCAATCTTTAATCATGATCAGAAAACTTAATACTTTTGGATTTAAGAATTAATGATCAGAAGAAAATCTGAGTCCATTCATAATCCACTCAAGAAACTTGATTTAAAAATAAATGAATTCAATCTTAAATTTTGAAAAACGAAGATCTGAGTCAAATTCTTAATCTTAAATATCATCTATTCAAGAATCTTGTTACAAGAACGAATCCAATCATTAATCTTTATTTAGGAGTAAAGAATGAATGATATTAATCATTAATCAAGATTTAAGAATAAACGAGTCCAATCTTTAATCTTAAAAAACGAAGATCTGAATCCAATTCTTAATCATGAACTCAAGTATCGTAAATTAAAGCTAAATGAATCCAATCTTTAATCGTGATACAATAAACGAATCCAATCCTTAATCTTGATACAATTATTGAATTCAATCTCAAACTTGAAATCTGAGTCCAATTCTTAATCATCATCTACTCCAGAATCTTGATGAAGTAGAACATATTCCCGTGTACTGTACCCAAACTTCAACACGTCCTTCTCCTAAACCAAAATAAAAAAAATTAAAATTATAAAAAAATTAAAAAATGAAAAATGAAAAAATGTTTCTTTATCACATTCAATTCTCTTGAAAATTACCCCCCCACCCCCTCCCACCCACTTCAATTTTATCAATACAATTTTTTTTAAATTCCAAGAATCTATAAAATAATGACCTGTAGTTCATAATATCTCTGTCCCTCTATGCGCTGGTTGTTCAAGTATGTACCATTAGCTGAACCCAGGTCAATTATGTACGGCAGTACTCTAAAATAATGTTGTACACAGGACTCTAGAATTTACATCATGTACAATTAACACAGTTCAGAAGTAGTATAAAATGTAAAACACAATTAAACATAGAATACAATACTATACAATGTACATAAATGTACACATCACTTTTTGCTTTGTACATAACACATTGTACAGTGCACACTACAAATTGTCATGTGCACTGTACAGAAGAAAATATTAAATTAATGTATATCTATATTACAATATTGCGCACAAATATACACATTGTATACCGTACACGGGTGTGGTTTAATTCTAATTATAAGTAAAGCTCTTGAATCATACAATATTTTGTGAATTAAAGGGAGTGTCGTCTAAACTTCAAATGACCAGTTTCTACTTTAAATTTGAATGCCGGATTCACGACAATACACTTTAAACCTTAATCACTAGAACTTCCTTTTAAATAAGTTATATAAAACAATATGGATCTTTAAACCCGTATGATATGGATAATAAAAACCAGAGGCCGTTCCTTCCATAAACTACATTGGTCGTCAAATGTACCGGGAAATATCTATCCATCAGATAAGAATTTAGCATGAGACATCTAGCAGCCAAAATATCGTCCCCCAAAGTACGTGAACTTCACTTTGGTGAGAACGGTCTCTGGGGTAGGGGGATAATTTCAAACTTGATAATCCATAAAAACTTTTCACCTATTTCCGTCGGATCCGTCAGCGCGCTTCTTACTTACCAACCTAGAAAACAAGGAGTTAAAGGGATTGTACATAAAATATAGAAAACAAGTGAGGCAATCTAATATGATATGGGACGCTCTGTACACAACCGACCTGTCTATTAATTAATTAATAGACAGGTCGGTTGTGTACATCACGATTTGTTTACGTATCTAACGCTGTACACTTGCATATAGAGCGATCGTATTTCTAAAGGGGGATTTTATGGAATTGACCAATTTTTAGATTTTCTTTCTTTATTTAAAGAGAATTCAAGGATGATGACTGCAAACATTTGAAAATTTTCAAATTTGAAGGTTTTCAATTTATTAGCTAAAAGTTCTGTCAAAAATATTAAGTTTCTAGGGGATGAATTTAACTGAAAACATTCTTATTTCAAACATTATTTATTGTTTCTTCTCTTTATCATAAACATGATAGTGTATGCAGGGTTACCCACAAAGATGAAACAACGATGACGACCTGGAGCTCCTAACCCTAAACAGGCGGGGGGGGCATTTTCATAAATAGAAATTTAAAGGATTTTTGGTATTTTTTTTTATGCCTAAGGTAGGGTGTAGGGCCATAAAAAACCAGAGTATGTAAATTGTAAAAAAATCTTAAATAGCCCAAACTTTTTTATGACTAAAGGTACAGATCTGAAAACTATAGTTTTGAAAAGCCCTTGAAAAATGGGTGTAGAAACGTGTGTCACACTTAGATATTTGTTGAAAATTTGGACATGCATTAAAACCCTATACCTATTCACTAAAGCCTTTTTCTAAGCGATGGAAGGGGGGGGGACGAGGGGCGCGCCCCCCAGTCTATACATAGTTTCAGACTCCCAGCCTTTATAGGGTTAAACATAAACAACAATCTAAAGGTTGAATTTAGATTCTGTCTCAAATATTGTCTAGTCCTTTGTGGTTATTGTGCTTGTATTGAAATAAACAAACAACTGAACTTGAATGGGCTCTGTACACTGTACGTGTGAGTACAGTTTGTACACTGTACAGTGAGTAAAGTGTACACAATACACCCAACTGGAGTACAGTACAACTCAGGGGCGGTTCAGAGAGGGTTTGGAGTTCAGGGGCTTATAAGCACAAAAATAACAAATAAGTTGTTGAATTAGTTCAAGAAAGATGCACCAGGAACCCCAATATCTTTATAAGCAAAAAATGTACTACAATTTCTGGGAGAAATGTAAACAAATTCAGTTTTTGATAATGCGGAGTTTGGTTTACGTTAATTTCAGAAACTTATGTATACTTGTGTTTTCAGGGGCGTGTACAACAGAGGGGGGGGGGATGCTCCAAAGGCATTAAATTGCATAACATCCTGGCCCTTGCTCCCTAGACATTAATTTACAAACCTTCCTTTTCTGGCCTAGGCTCCCTAGACATTAAATTACATACCTTTCTATCCCGGCCCATGCTCCCTAGACATTAAATTACATACCTTCCTATTTCGGCCCATGCTCCCTAGACATTAAATTACATACCTTCCTATCCCGGCCCTTGCTCCCTAGACATTAAATTACATACCTTCCTATCCCGGCCCATGCTCCCTAGACATTAAATTACATACCTTCCTATCTCGGCCCTTGTTACCAAGACATTAAATTACATACCTTCCTATCCTGGCCCATGCTCCCTAGACATTAAATTACATACCTTCCTACCCTGGCCCATGCTCCCTATAAATTAAATTACAAACCTTCCTATACCGGCCCTTGCTCTCTATAAGTTAAATTACAAACCTTCCTATCCCGGCCCTCGCTCACTAGATATCAAATTACAAACCTTCCTATCCTGGCCCATGCTCCCTAGACATTAAATTACATACCTTCCTATCCTGGCACATGCTCCCTATAAATTTAATTACAAACCTTCCTATCCCGGCCCTTGCTCCCTATACATTAAATTAATACCTTCCTATCCCGGCCCATGCTCTCTAGACATTAAATTACAAACCTTCCTTTCACGGCCCATGCTCCCTATACATTAAATTAATACCTTCCTATCCCGGCCCTTGCTCTCTAGACATTAAATTACAAACCTTCCTTTCCCGGCCCATGCTCCCTTTACATTAAATTAATACCTTTCTATCCCGGCCCTTGCTCTCTAGATATTAAATTACAAACCTTCCTATCCCGGCCCTTGCTCTCTAGATATTAAATTACATACCTTCCTATCCTGGCACATGCTCCCTATACATTTAATTAATACCTTCCTATCCCGGCCCTTGCTCTCTAGACATTAAATTACAAACCTTCCTATCCCGGCCCTTGCTCTCTAGACATTAAATTACAAACCTTCCTATCACGGCCCATTAGGAAAGCGGATTGTCTGTGTAGATGTAGAGTCGGGAGAACTTCTTCACCCTAGAATTTTTTTTTCTTACATGAGAAACAAAAAACTCTGGAATAGGAAGACGACTTTTAGACTCAAGTTATTACTTTGAATAGTCTCATGAACATTGTGCATGTGAAGTGTTAGCAGACCCATTTCACTAAATGAGTGATTTAATAAGTTACTATTACAGCTTTTAGCTTCAAGTAACAAAATAAAAACATATTACTTCAATGTCGTAGCTTCCTATTCCAGAGTTTTCTAGTTCTCACTGAATAAAACTTTAAATACTCCCAAAATCTTTTTACTACAGTATCTAGAACTTCACAACCTTAATTAGTACATCTGTTCAAACTTCTTTATTACCCCTAGCCCCCCAAACGGTTAACCCAACCCCCTACTCCCTAACCCACCTTGAAAGTGTAGAACCTTGCTCCACCCCATGCCCCCTCCTTCCTCTCCCCTGCTCACTGCATCCTTCTCCCCCTCTACTCTTTCCCTCCTGGATCCATTCCCCATGCTCCCTGCATTCTTCTCCCCCTCTACTCTTTCCCTCTTGCTTCCACTCCCCCTGCTCCCTGCATCCTTCTCCCCCTCAACTCTCTCCCTCCTCCTCCTACTCCCTCTGCTCCCTGCATCCTTCTGCCCCTCTACTCTCTCCCTCCTGCTCCCTGCATTCTTCTCCCCCTCTACTCTCTCCCTCCTGCTCCTACTCTCCATGCTCCTTTCCTACCTTGAAAACGTAGAACCTCCACCGGCGTTTAGGTTTCCTTGCTTCAGGAGGTTCAGCATACTTTACCACCACACCATTAAAGGTGTTCGTCTCCTGAAAAATAAAAATTGTTTCACAGACTGCCGTTGTAAATGAACCTTCATTTACGGTATGCTTTAATGCTGATATAAGTAGGGTAAAGTGTGTTATTTGGTTTTAGTTAAGCTTAACTTTTAAGATTTTCAGAAAAAATACCTATTACTCAATAAAGTTAAACAAAAATTGTTCTTAAAATATGTATTCTGACGTTTGAACAAATTTGATTAAAAATTGCGGTATTTGATCATATATTTAACTAAGGTTGGTTTTAAATTGCTGTATTTGGTCATATATTTAACTAAGGTTGGTTATAAATTGCTGTATTAGGTCGTATATTTAACTGCGGTTGGGTATAAATTGCTGTATTTGGTCATATATTTAACTTAGGTTGGTTATAAATTGCGGTCTTTGGTCATATATTTTACTGAGGTTGGTTATAAATTGCGGTATTTGGTCATATATTTTACTGAGGTTGGTTATAAATTGCGGTATTTGGTCATATATTTAACTGAGGTTGGGTATAAATTGCGGTATTTGGCAAGTGTTAAACTATATCATTTTACACTCGTTTAAGCTGGTACAGTCAAAATGTTTACAACAACACTATTTTTCATGACAACACTATTCCTAACAAAAAACCCAAACAAAAATCCAAACATAAATCCGACAAGAATAAACTTTATATTTTTAAAAAATATTTGATTTTAACATTTTTCCCCCATAGCACCACTAAAAGTTTAAAACCATTTCTCTGACGTAAATCTTTCTTCTTATTATTATTAAGGATCATCAAGTTTTTATGTAACTTATGAAAATTAGGGTTACGCAAAATTACATAAAAAGTCTCATTGATAAAACTCCCTTATAATACAACTGCTGAGAATTAGACCTCTGTAAGCGCACCAGAAAGACCGAGATTCACGCCTTCTTTCGGTACTTCCGGTTCGTCTTCTGGTTTGAGAGCTTCCGCCTTCATTTGATGCACTTCCGCCTTTCTGTTCCTGACTTCTTCGTGTCTCTGTTTATCTTCTCCGTGTCTGTGTCTGTCGTCCTTCCTGTGTCTCTCTTCTCGTCTTTCCTTCTTTTCCCGACTTCTACAAAAAGGAGAAAATTTAAAAAACATTTTCTTATATTGAGATGTGTGTGTGGTGAGAGGGGGGGGAAGCTTTTTCTTATGAATAAAATTTCAATTAAAATGTAAAAATCTTCTTTTCAAAATTTCCCATTTCTTCAGAAATCTGTCCTGTTTCTTGCAAGATCGTTCCTGTTTCTTGCAAGATCGTTCCTGTTCCTTGCAACATCGATCCTGTGCCTTGCTAGATCGGTCCTGTTCTTTCCAAATATTGTTCTCTGGAAAATTACCATTACCTTTCGTCTCTCGTACGCCAATTCTTACCATTTCCTTGGTCTCTCCCTACTCCTACTCCTATTCTTACCTTTTCCTTCGTCTCTCCTATTCCTATTCTTACTTTATTCTTCGTCTCTCATAACTCCTACTCCTATTCTTATCTTTTCCTTGGTCTCTCCTTACTCCTACTCCTAATCTTACCTTTTCCTTCGTCTCTTATAACTATTACTCCTAATCTCACCTTTTCCTTGATCTCTACTTACTCCTACTCCTAATCTTGCCTTTTCCTTGGTCTCCCCTTACTCCTACTCCTATTCTTACCTTTTCCTTGGTCTCTCCCAACTCCTACTCCTATTCTTACCTTTTCCTTGGTCTCTCCTTAATCCTACTCCTATTCTTACCTTTTCCTTGGTCTCTCCTTACTCCTACTCCTATTCGTACCTTTTCCTTCGTCTCTCCCTACTCCTACTCCTATTATTACCTTTTCCTTGGTCTCTCCTTACTCCTACTCCTAATCTTACCTTTTTCCTTCGTCTCTTATAACTATTACTCCTAATCTCACCTTTTCCTTGATCTCTCCTTACTCCTACTCCTAATATTACCTTTTCCTTGCTCTCTCCTTACTCCTACTCCTAATCTTACCCTTTCCTTCGTCTCTTATAACTCCTACTCCTATTCTTACCTTTTCCTTGGTCTCTCCTTACTCCTACTCCTATTCTTACCTTTTCCTTGGTCTCTCCCTACTCCTACTCCTATTCTTACCTTTTCCTTCGTCTCTCCTTAATCCTACTCCTAATCTTACCTTTTCCTTCGTCTCTTATACCTCCTACTCCTATTCTTACCTTTTCCTTGGTCTCTCCTTACTCCTAATCTTACCTTTCCCTTCGTCTCTTATACCTCCTACTCCTATTCTTACCTTTTTCCTTGGTCTCTTCTTACTCCTACTCCTAATCTTACCTTTTCCTTCGTCTCTTATACCTCCTACTCATATTCTTACCTTTTCCTTCGTCTCTCCCTACTCCTACTCCTATTCTTACCTTTTCCTTGGTCTCTCCTTACTCCTACTCCTATTCTCAACTTTTCCTTCGTCTCTCCCTACTCCTACTCTTCCCTTTTCCTTGGTCTCTCCTTACTCCTACTCCAAATCTTCCCTTTTCCTTCGTCTCTAATTACTCCTACTCCTATTCTTATTTTTTCCTTGGTCTCTCCTTACTCCTACTCCTATTCTTACCTTTTTCTTGGTCTCTCCCTACTCCTACTCCTATCTCTACTCCTATTTCTGCTATGTTCACTTTTTCGAGAATATTTCTCCCTAAATAGAAAAATAATCAATTGATAAATTCATAATTTAAACCAATCCAAGTATCAATTATGTTATACCGAAATCAAATAAGTTAAAAAACTTAATTTGATCATTCTAATAAATAAAAAAAGTTTGATTATTTTTCCTCGATTTTACTTTTGTCTCTGATCCCATATTGTCTGAAAGTCTGAAACTAAATCAAATTAAGTAAAGATAAAAATAACACTAGATGAAAACGCGTTTCTGAATTTATCCAGTTTAAAAGTACCCAAGTTTAATTTTTTCTCATTGTTTCTCCACCTTTTTGACTAATTATTACCCTGAATAATATCTAAATACCAGGTAATTTCCTGATATACAAGTTTTGGACTCCTCCCTCCCTATCAATTTTTTTACATGGATCTTATATATACGACATGGATATAATTGACCATGTGGCCGCGGTGCCCGGCTACCTAGCCTGTCCTAGCCGCGGCGATCGGCCCTCTAGCCTGTCCTAGCCGCAGCACGCGGCCCAGAAAGTGTCTTAACCTAACCTAACCCTATATACATACAAATTTTAGAAAATTGTTGAAATAGTGGTCATTTTCAAAATTGATAGGAGGGGGGAGGGGCTCCAAAACCGTATAATAGGACGGACCCAATTTCCAAATTAGGCACAGTTTAAAAAAACCATAGAAGGGAAACAAAGTTTTGAGATGGATATGGGATGGATATTGAATAAAATATAAAAAAAAATTTCAGACATAATTGCAAAAATTTTAAGTTTTCATGATTTGCTAGTATCCCAATTGAAATATTAGAAACGTATAAAAGGCAGCATCAAAAACTATGGTAGTGTAAAAAAGGATTTTTGAAACTGTACTTTAGGTTACAAATTTACAATATCTCCAAAATAGCATACATGGATTAATGCCGATTCCATTCATTTTGTTACAAAAATCAGTTTCGTATATCTGTAAATGAGTTATCTTATAATCTATTAACACTGAACAACTATCAAGACATAGAAAAGTGCCTTATTTTTCTACTTGTTTCATTTGAAAACAAAAGAATTGTGAATGTGCTCAAAATGCCGCAGTATGTTTTATTGTAATGCTGCATCAACGAAACTACCTCAACGGGACTTTTTCATAAGTACGTTTTTTTCAGGAAATTTAATCAGTAAATCAATTTCTTATGTTTTAAATACGAAGATCAAAGAATTAATTAATTTTTAAAAAAAATCAAGGTCATGTTTTCGCCATTTTAACAATAATTTCAACGCGCGACAACAGCACTTGACTGAACGGCCTGCACTAGCTATTGTGTTCAGCAAGTAAAATTACGTTAAATAATATTCATTCCAACCCAAAATACAAACTATCAGAATAAATTTAAAAACAAAAAACCATTATCTTTGTAGTCCAGTTGATGTTGCACCTTTGAGTTGATTTTGTCGTCTTCGATTAATGAAGGCGAAATAAAATTATTTAATCTTATCAATTAAAAACATTATTTAGACTTAATCTTGACTTAAGTAAGCCTTTAAATAAACCAAATATTTTTGCGATAATATTTAAAGCACTTTATAAGTTTTTGTTATCGAAACTTTTAGTTAATCAATTAATCAATGTGAGTCATAAAATTAAAATGCCGCGTTCAACTATGATTCTCCGAACGGTCGCTTCAAAAACACCAAATCTTTTGGATCTGCAATTTTATTTTATTTCAGTTGTGGTTGTGTTTAATTTAAAAGAATTCTAAATGATGACTTGACGTAAATATATTTATTAGAAATAATGTTTGAAGATTGGAGTTAAACATGGAAGGGTTTTATGACAAGGTATACTATTTATTTTATTTTTAAGGACATCGTGGGAAATGAGCCCCTCAAAAATTATTAATTCTGATTTTTGTTAAAACAGAAAGTTGACATTTTTTTAGTCCTTTAACTAAAACTTAAATATCTTCGAATCTTCAAAGAACTTTTACAATTTGTTTCTTTTTTAAAGATTTGCTATTACGAAATTTAATAACAAAAACAGCTGCAAATGTAAAATAAATTTTTGAAAATTCAGAAAAAGGATAAATAAAAACCTTGGTGTAAGCAGGAATACAAAATACGAGAAAGCAAAACTAAAAATTTATAAATGCCATTTTGCAAAAAAAAAGACAATTAAATTAAACACAAAACAAAACTTTGATCTAAAGTTAATTTTAATATTCAGAGGTTCGGTTCCCCGACAAAGATAGAGCGGGATGCTCTGGAGCGGGAAAAGAAAACATCGTTTGCTACTCTAAACCGTAGTATGCCAGGAATTAATATCACATACTCAGGTTCGTGGTAGATATACTGGATAAGGGTCGTAACTTATAAGGAGGGGGGGGGGGCGATGAGACATCTGCCCCCTCTGGTAAGATAAAAAAGTTCTTTTTTTATTACTGTGAAAGGGGACTTTGTCCTTAATCCCCCTGTTTACTCTTTTGGGTTTAACGTACAGCTGTTGAGTAAGAAATTGGCTGTTAAACTCAAGTTATGATTATAAATAGTCTAATGAACATGAAAAATACCGGTTAAACTGTTAGCTTCATCAGAACCTCGAATAACTTTATAATATGGCTAAAATAACATCTTCCTATTCCACAGTTTTATGAATAGGACTGTAGTAGATCTACAGCTGGTTAGTGGTTATCCACAAAGTACTGTTTGTTATGGTGAAAAGTGGAAAACCACGAAATATTTTAGTTAAATCCACCGTTAATGTTCTGTTACTAGGGGCACAGCATGAAGGTGGTAAGCTGGGAAGACGGGGGAGTGGAGGGAAGGAAGGAACCCCGGTCAAATCTAGAGGATTTTCTCCATCAGGCGTAGAACATGTAAGTACATAATTACATCTGAAGCAAAGAGAATAAATTGTTTACTTAGTTAAACATTTTTTTTTTTTTTCCCAAATAAAAATAATCAAATTTCCAAGAGAAACACATTCATTTTCGTTCACACGAAGTGAATCGGACATGCCACTGTATAAATTGAGAGTGAATTGAAATAACGCTTACAGTCTCTTTAATGCCCAATTTTGCAGGAGGATATAGGTTTACAGCTGAATACAGTTAAATTAAAGTTAGAAGAAAGGAGACGAAAAATAGAGGTGAGAAAATTATTTTTTAAAACATTTTTTTTAATTCAATATATTTAAGTTAAAACAAACTTCAAGAAAGTCGTTATTATTTAATGATATTTTTAGTTAAAGTATTTTGTGTTTTTCCACCTACTAGAGGATAAACTATTAATTTATTGATCGTTAATCAATCATTTCGTTTTTATTTCCATCCGATGTTTTCGTTAAGAGATATTACACGAATACACTCTGTTCGCTTAGCCTTTCTAAACTTAATACTAGTGGATGACATTTTGAATCCTCTAATCAGAATAGAGCTAGTACGGACATCTTTCTAAAAAAATCTAAAATGAAAGAATTATTAATGATAAAAATGAACAAATTTAGGAGGAGAAGAGGAAGATGGAGATGTTGATGTCGAAACAGAGAGAGAAAGTTGGACAGGAAGCATTTCTCAGAGCTGTATCCAAGGTGACCCCCCCCCCTTGTTTTCTAATGTGACCCCCCCCCCCTTCCCTCCTTTTCAAACAGAAAACAGTTTCAGCTTGAGAAAATTCACGAAAATCTGCCAACTTGAGTTTGTGTTCGATTTGAACTGTTTTCTCTTTCTTTTGGGATCTTTTACATTTTATACTCCTTTAAAATGATTCGATGTAAAGTGCAATCTTTAAAATTCCCCCCTAATGTTGTAGTTACGGATTATATTTATGATTAACTATTCAATGTTGATAAGTTGGAAATAAATCTTGATAAGTGATATTATTGATTTTTAATCATCTGTATTCTTTCCATTTATCTGTGTCTGTCTGTCTTTAAGTTTGGGCCATACCTACCTACCTAATTACCTACCTACTTACCTACCTACCCACCTACCTACCTACCTACCTACCTACCTACCTACCTACCTACCTAACCTAATGTATCCAGGGTATAAGAAGAGCAGGGGGTGGAACCGATGTACCAGGGAACGCTAGGGACGAAATTCTTGAGATTGCATCAAAGGTTAGAAAATTTATTTATTAGTTGAAAACTTTTAAATCCCTTATTAGATTGTGAGAAAAAAACGCATTCAATATTCCCAGTTTTAATTTATTTATTTTAATTTAAATTTTGATTTTTTTGACTAAATTTTATTTTTTCCTAATCTAAAATTATTTTCTCCAAAAATAATGTTTTTATTTAAGGTTGGTGAAGGGATGGTTGACCGCAAATCAGCAAGGGAGGGAGGGCGAACTGATGAGGGTTTGAGGGATGAAGGGCGAACTGATGAGGGACTGAAAAGACCCTTTTCCTTAAAGTTGAGTGAGGAGTTAAACAAGTCCTCAGTTCAAACTCCCGAGGCTGAAGCCATGGGTTAGTTTTTTTATTTTTTCTTCTGTTTAAAGGGACTGTTTAACGTAATTTCAAGTGACACTCCATACAAAGAGGGCAATGCCCGATTCACAACGGTACTTTTGAAGCCTTTATCTGATCAATGATAAGATAGGTTTAAAAGTGTTTAATTCTGACAATTTATTTATGTTTCTACATTGCACAACACTTTGGTAAGGAAACCACAATTGAAAGTAATCCGTTTTCAAAATTATAAACAATGATATCTATTGCATACTTGATCGAATAAAAGCTTTTAAAGGTACCGTTGTGAATCGGGCATTGCCGTCTTTGCATGAATAGTCACTTGAAATCACGCTTACAGTCCCATTAAAGCTGTGATTTGTATTGAATATATACTGATCTTGATATGATTTATTTAAAGATTTTAGAAACGTTTATTGATTGCAGCCTTACGTTTTTTTTATTTAAAAAAATATATTATTATTTATAATTTTTGAGAAGGGGAAAGAATCTAGTTTTTTATATGAAAAATTTTTTTTTTTTTAAATACATTATATTTTCGGCATCTTCTTTTGCATTATTTGCTGAGCTTTATTGTCGGCTGTATTGTGCTTATCAGTTTCAATTCATCAGTTGCCATTTATTATTAGAATAGGATCATGTTTTATAAAGGTTAGTGGTAAAATCCGGATCGTTGGATCCACAATGTTTTGACCTCCAAGATCCGGATCCACAATGTTTTGACCTCCAAGATCCGGATCCAAGGGGCAAAGTATCAACCCAAATTCTGCCCCCTAAGCACAAATCTCAAATATTATCTTTTATGATATTAATTGAAAAATTACTTTCAAAACATTTTTCATTTGTTAAAAAATGAGTAAATCTTAAAGAAATATTTATGACCCGGATCCGCATCAAAATGAAAAGGATCCTAAGCAATGGGATGTAAAACCTGAAAAAATTATGATTATAGTTACAGGACAAAGGAGGAGATATAACTATAAAGAGAGAGATATTTTTTACGTTTTATTGTGACGTACGTACAGTATTAGTATGTTTTCTTATTATTATTAATTACCTTCTTCCCCTTTAAAAATAATTTGCCCTTCCAGGTGTGAGTGGGGGGGGATGTTTTTCTAAAAATTATATATCCCCGTGGCCTGCCTTGCTATGTACAAGACTAATTTACAAATATTGTATTTTTTTACAACAAAATAAATATAAAGCTGTTCTCATACGTCATAGTAAAATGTAAACATAATTGGATGAAAATTAGGAAGTATATAATAAACAATTAAAAACAAAATTAATATTGATTAAAATAACATTAATAATAAAAGGTGATAATGTAAATAAAGATATTAATGAAATTATGCTAATTGAAACTATTGTTTAGATATATCCCGTATGAGTGACTCCTTGTATTCTTTACAGTCCGATATTCAACGTCTAGCTCTGCAGCAGACCCAGATTCAGAACCTCATGAATACTGCAGCAGAGGTAGGAGTAGGAGTAAAAGAGAATAAACAGGGACACCCCCCTTGATATGCCAGAGAAGTTTGCGCTACACGACTAAAAACAGTTTTTTTTGTCAGTAAATACTAACCTTGTATCAATAGAGAAGTTTTTTAGGCCCCAATTTACATACCCTCCCCCCACCCCCCCAGCAAACACACACAAACACTTACCGTGGATTTATCATCCTAATCTAAACCATATTATTTTGTATAGCCTAAGACCATGAATCCAAGCGGAGGAAACCAGCCACCATTTTTCATCAATGAATCCTCTACCCCACCTCCTTCCAACCACACCCCCTCTAAACCCTTCTTTATTAACCAACCGGAGCAGGGGAGCGGGAACAAACCGTTTTATATTTCTCAAACCGCCAGTCCTCGCCGCACCTGGGGAGAACCGGCACCAATAAAACTCCCGCCGGCGGTGGAGTATCCGGCTCCGCAGTTTCAACCACCTCAGCCGCACCACCCTCAGCCCTATAGTCATATGCAACCCCCTACCCAGCAACCCTATGGTGCACCACCCCCAGGGTACAACCAGCCCTACCCCTATCCTCCGCAACCCTACTGTGATCAGTATGGAAGACCGGTAGCAGTTCCCTACCCTGGTGGAGCGTATCCTAGCTTTGCACCTGGATATACTCAACCCTATCAGCCTTATCCTACCTACCATCAACCCCCATACACGCCTCCAGATGTTCATCATCCGCCGCAGGTAATATATTATCAATTTGGAGATGGAAACACTTATGTTATGTACTGTTGACACTTTTTCTGTTTTATCCTCTCTTTTGTGGATATCACTACTGCGTTCCAATTAATGAGAGTTCTCTCTTTGATTGCGCGCAAAACTTACAAACTTCTGATTTGCTGTTCGGTTCCTGCAAAGGACACACAGTGATTGGTTGAATTTTAGACACTTTCCTGCCTATCAACTAAAGATTAAATTAATCGGCAGATTAACAAGAGGGGATCAAGCATTGATCTCTTTATCCACAATACACGAATTTCTGGCTCTGAGGAATTTAAGATATTAAATTTCAATTGATACAACAAACTGAAATTTTCAATTTTTTGATGAACTATTCAGAAATTAGGAAATTTTTATTTTCTCTCCTTTTTCAACAGTTCAGATATAGAATTTGAGAGTAAAAAAGTTTTTTTTGCAGTTTTTGGATGTTTTTAGATCCGGATCCGGATCCAGGTAGCCAAAATTTTGCGGATCTAATGTATCCGGATTCCAAGCACTGCTAATCTATAATTGGAAAAAATTAAGTCTACAGACCCTTTAAGTAATAATCACCAGACACCCAAAAAATAATAATAATGAACAAATTGTTGAGATGAAAACTGTTCAGATTGACGAGGAGGCAAGAGGACGATTATCGTTATCTAGAACATCTAGTCTAAAAGTAAGTGCAGCCTAAATTTTCCCACCATTTTTCAATATGCGGAAAATGCCGCGCATACTATTTGATTTAATATTATCTAGGGCACGACGCGGTACAGCTTAAACCAGAGCCTTCCATTGCACTCTGACCATCAAGAATTATCTGCTTTTAATCGGTCCGCCCCTGACCGCGTGTTTTCTGCCCCCGAGCAGCGCGTTCTCCCTTCTCAAGAACGGGATGAAACTGCGTCAGAACGAATTCTTTCCACTCCGGGACGTGGCATTTCTACTCCAGAGCGAGTGTTTTCTACTCCAGAACGTGCTTTATCCACCCCGGAACGTGCTTCATTGACTCCAGAACGTGCTGTCTTTACACCAGAACGTTTTCAACCAACTCAGCTGGCGGGAGTTCGTTCTGAACTAGAGCATGATCTTAAAGCGGACTTAAGGCGTGAAACTGAATTAACACAGGTACCATTGATATCTATGTAATTCATGGATAGATTGATTGAATCAGTGATTGGTTTTAACTTTTTATTGATATGATTTTATGTAAGGGTTGGTTGATTTACTGATTTGTTAAACTCAATAAAAATTGACTAATATATTATTAAATTATTTGTTGATTTTTGAACTGCACGATTGATTGAATGATTCATTGGTTGATTGATTGATTTGGGGTACTATTAAGGTTGAAGAGAGAAGGAAACCTGCCACGGCAGAGAAACCATCTTTATCAGCTTCATTTCTGGAACAGAAACGGTATTATCTTGTCACAATTCTAGTAGGACCTATTGAACTTCTATTGCTTGTCGCATTTCACATATAAATCTAATGCCTGTTTAACAACATTTCTATCATTTTGATTTTGAGGAAACTTACGATTTTGCAGTTTTTTTTTGTTAAGTGTAGATCATGTTATTTATTTTCTAAAAGTCGTAGATAATAAATGCTTACATTTGAATTTTTAAAACCCGCTTTATACATACATAGAATATTCGGTATTTTCGCGGTATACTTGCATCAAGTAACGTCTTCTGTGTCAAGATCACACTGAACGCTAGCGTACACACCTGTTTTACGGTAATTTGAACACAATTTGAGATATCTGGCCTCGATGATGATGCAAAGATGTTAAGGGTACCGTTGTAAATCGGACATTGCCATCTTTGCATGGAAGGGCACTTGAAATTAAGTTTACAGTCCCATTGAAAAGAAATCATAATCCATTATAAAAGATGACCCCAAGTATTGAACTTCTATTGCTTGTTGCATTTCACATATAAATCTAATGCCTTTTTAACAACATTTCTATCATTTTGATTTTGAGGAAACTTACGATTTTGCAGTTTTTTTTTGTTAAGTGAAGAAATCCATGAAAATACGTAAATCTTATCAAATCTCAGAATTTGAGATAAAAACTAGCGAAACTAAACTTTAACTTTTAAGGAGGAACACGGATCATCTTGAAGCCAGACCAAAATCCGCCATATTGGACCGGTCAGGCGCCATATTTTTTTCTCCAGCTCAGCTGAACTCACGGGAGCAATCTCCTGTAACCATGGGCCAGTCACCAGCTGCTAGGGGCTACTCACCAGGGGCTAGGGGGCAATCCCCCGGGGTGAGGGGTGCGATATTTTTTGATAAACATGAGGAGCCAGGAGATGAGGATTTAGATAACACTGATAAGGGAGTTGAACAAGCAGCTGAAGATCTGACTGGAAGATCACCAGTACTTCCCATAGAACCAGAGATGACTGCTTCTACCCTTGAAACATTGAACAAGATGAAAACTGAAACTATAGGCAAGTCAATTTGACCTCGACATGGAGCTTGACATTGACTTTGGATTTGACTTTGACACTGATATTGAGACTGGCATTGAATTGGACATTTTGACCTTGACCTTGACCTTGATTTTTTACCTGGCCCTTAACATTAACATTGACCCTGGCATTGACCTTGACTCTGGCATTGACCTTGATCTTGACATTGACCTTGACTCTGGCATTGACCTTGACCTTCATCTTGACATTGACTTTGACCCTGGCATTGACCTTGATCTTGACATTGACATTGACCTTAATCTAGATATTGACCTTGACCCTGTCATTGATCTTGACCTTGATCTTGACATTGACCTTGACTCTGTACCTGACCACAGAAATGAATCTTATTAATTTTAAATTTTCAATCGATTTATAATAAATCACTAGATATGCTTTGAGAATAAAACATTGAAATAATGTTTTGATACTTTTTTTAGGTGATACAACAGATAATGCAAAAGGATTCCTTATATCATTCGATAACTCGGCGGTGAAACCGAAACCAATTCTTAAACCAAGAAAATCTGTCAAAAAAGACGAAAGTCCGGTAGTTGAGCTTAATAACCCCGGCAAACAAGGTTCTGTCACCAGTGATAAAATGGAACGCAACATGGACGACATATCAACTAAAATGGCGGATTACTCACCGAGAGGAGTAATTTTAAAATGTCGTCTTTGCGAGGAATCTGAGTCAAATGATCCCACGCTTCAACTCTGTTGGTCTTGTATTCAACTAATTAAAAGAANCTTAAAAGTTGTACACAACACATGTATTTTCTTCACAACATGAATTCTCTCTTTACCTCTAGTGATAAAATCCTAATGATCCGCGTTAAGCTTTTCTACATTTCAGGGGCGTAAGGGTTAACTTATTTTTTGAGTGGAATGGAACACAAATAATCATCCTAGTACTGCTTTTTTGACATGAATGAGTTGTCAGAAACGTATTGTTCAAAATTTTGCTAAACTAAAAATCATTTAACTTTCTAAACTTATTTGTGAAATAAAGACGACATTTAATTCCAGATCTCCAGTTTGTTCTCGGGACAGTAGCTGTCCTTCTACCTGTGACAGCTGTCTGCTTGAGAAAGGTCGACAGCTGGAGCTGATACAGAAGGTCGAAGTTGTCGATATTCCCGTCGTGGAGTCGGAAGAAGCTCGACAAGCGGTAATTTTTATATTACTAGAAATTCAAGGCGCTTCGCGCCCTTCTTTCTAGGCTTTTAGGGCGCTTCGCGCCCATCTTCTATTTAAATTGTGAAAATGTTCTTTTTGTTTACATTTTAAAACAAAGAAGAAAAAAATTTGCAGATTTAAAAAAAAAAAATTGCGGATTTTCAAGAATTTAAATTTTTTTTNGTCAAGTAATCTATATATAAATTTGGCTTGTCTGTTTGTTTGTTGGATACAAACAAACAGACAAGCCAAATTTATATATAGATTCATTAGAATTGCATTGTCAACTATTGTGTTGGATACTCATAATCCCAATAGCTTGATCTCAATATCCATTGTGGGCACTTATAATTCGATCTTGATCTCTTCATTTCAGTTATTCCTCCAGGGTACATCAGGGTCCTGAAAATATTAAATATTTATATTGCTCCTCTACGTGCGACTATTTTCTTCATACCATGATAAAATAGAAACAACATTTAATTCTCAAGTTTTACATTAATAAAATCTTTTGTTTGGAGAAAAATATTCTTATTCTGGTTAGAAATTAATCAGTTATCAGTTATCACCCTTGGGGCTGTGGGTTATTACTATTTAATTAGGCGTTTATCGCTGATATAGTTAGATGGTATGTTAAGCAAAAAGTCTGTCATGTTTCGTGGGAATTTTAAATTTTAGAATTTGTTATGGTGTCCTTGTTTTTGTCAACTAACAAAAAAATGCTATAAACGAAAGAAAGTAGATCGAAAGGAATTCTAATAGTTACACGGAAGAAAGTAGGTTGAAAAGAATTCTAATAATTAGTCGGAAGAAAGTAGGTTGAAAAGAATTCTAATTATTAGGCGGAAGAAAGTAGGTTGAAAAGAATTATAATTATTAGGCGGAAGAAAGAAGGTTGAAAAGAATTATAAATATTAGACAATTAGGCGGAAGAAAGACAGTTGAAAAGAATTACAATTATTAGGCAGAGGAAAGACGATTGAAAAGAATTCTANTGATAAATTCAAAACTTAAGAGAGAGAGTCGGTTTAAAAGAATTCTGATTATTAAGTGTAAGAAAGTCGATTAAAAATGCGGTAGAGAGTCGGTTAAGAAGAGTTCTAGTAATTAGGCGGAAGAAATTTGGTAGTAAAGAATTATAATTATTAGGCGGAAGAGAGTCGGTTGAAAAGAGAAGACGAAGCCAGGAAGAGAAGAGAAGAAGAAGAGACTAAGAAGGAAGAAACGGCTAAGAGGAAGGAAGAGGAAAGGAGACGCAGAGAAGAAATTCTTGAGCAGCATAAAATAAAAAAGGTGAACTTTTCTAGATAAACATTTTTACGCCATTCAGAGTAGGGAACTTATACCGATGGCGCTCATCTACAACACTTTATTTTTATTTTGAAGCGATTAAGTGCTTAATCCTTTATCAAAGGCTGTCTTTCTCATATTTTTACGAGAAGTCATCGATCTAGAGAAATATCCAGATGGAATTAAACTAATCCGTCGGGCTAATAGTGAATAAGAGATTTCTGAAGGGATAAACCGAACACAAGTCAATAGAATAGTATTTTAATTAAAGGGACTGTGTCCCTATAAGCGTAATTTCTTGTGACCCTCCCACACTGCTGAAAATTGACCATCAGGTTTCAAGTCAAAACACCTAAACCTTTTGTTTGGATTATGTTTATATGCAGGCTACTGAGTTATATTCTCAATTTTCAGAAAATGCCACCTAGGGAATTTTGAGCAAATAAATTTTTAAGAAATTGTAGAAATCAAGTCCATTCACAGGTCTTAAATTAAACAAAAATTTCATTTCAAGACTTTAATCTGCTTGTTCTGGGTTTTTTACGATATTTTTTTTAACGGTAAATGACATGGTCTCCAATTTTTTTTATTTTTCTTTAACAGTCATGAAACTTATTGTAGCAAAAAATCAAACCCCTAAGTCAACTGCCTGACTGTCAAAATGCGGCCCGAAAAAGTTTTTTTGATGTAATTTTTACTGATTACTTCATGAAGTCTTTTTCAGGAAGTAATTGGGCAATAAAACAGTTCACTTAAGGCTTTGATTTTTTTCTCTAAAACATATCTTATGATTGTTAAGGAAAATTCACAAAATTTGGGGACCCTACCATCAACGGTTCTAAAAAATATCACAAAAAAACACAGAATAATCTTAATTAATCTTTGAACCTACAGTTACGATTGAGTTTAGACTTAAAAATGTACTTGATTTCTACAATTTCTTTAAAATGGATTTACTTAAAATTCCCTTGGTGGCATTTTCTGAAAATTTAGATTATAACTCAAACCTGCATATTAATATATTCCGAAGAAAAAATTAGGTGTTTTGACTTGAATCCTGATGGTTCATTTCGAGCAGTGTGCTCCATGCAAAGATGGCAACGCCAGATTTAAAACGATACCCTTAAAAGCTTTGTCTGATCAAGTATAAATAAGAAATCCATGTTTTTATTTTTTTTTAACTGGTCATTGTTATTTGCGGTTTCTCTGCGAAAGTGACACTTCAACACTTATTAGTTAACACTTATTGAGTCAGATTTGCAGAATTTAAATTATTCCCCGATTTTTTAGGAATTGGAGAAGGATGAGGCGGCTGGGTTGGGTGGAGGAGGTGCTGGGTGTCCGAGTTCTTACAATAAATTTGCTCCCAAACTCAGACCTAGGAAAAAACAGTCGAGAAAATTTTCTCTTTAATATGTATTTACATTTCTATAATATAAACCGGGTTTAATTTATTAAAAGAAAAAAATGGTTTTAAAAATTAGATATTTTTTCTCCAGCCTTGACTTAATTTTTATTATTCGGTTCAAAAAGGTTGCACAACAATATCAAATATAAATTGTGACTTCTGAAAATCAATCCCCTGAATAGAATAAAAATTGTTGAAATCTTAATAACTATACCTGCATTTCTAATAAACTTATAAATTCTCTTGAATTTGATCAAAACTAATAAATCTGCATAATTATCGTGACATTTTTGGGAAAATTTTAAAAATTTGCAAAAACTAAAACTAAGTCTAACAACTTCCCTATTATGTATTAAAGCTGTCCAAGTGTTTAAAATTAATTTAAAAAAAACTATTAAATCTACAAAAAAAAATCCCCCATTAATTTAAACTGTTTGAATCTACAGATCTGCGGGGGCGGGTAAACCTCGGCCTAAAACTATCCATGTTGATACTGAGGTAAAGAATAAGAAAAAATTTTATATTTAAAATAATATTTTTAGATTTTTTTCTGGGGGGGGGAGGGGTGATGTTTTAAAGATTGGCTGATTCAATTTATCGGTTCTGCACAAGAATTCGATACACCAACATTTTGATATGTTATTAATAAAATAACAAAAAAATATTTCAATACCCATAAACTCCTTTTATCTTTAATAATCAATTCATATTTTTTCTGGAAGTTACTTATATTTTGTCAAATTACTTATTTAAACTGTTTTTTATTTTTTATTTTTAAAAATTACTTTTTAGGAGCTGGTGCCTAGCAGAACAGGGTTGCGGGGGTCACAATCAAATCTTAATATGAGCTCCGTCAATAGAAATAGGTATATATTTACAAATCATGTGCCACGTAGAATAAAGACGATAATGTCTTAATATTAACTTAATTGGGTTTTGTGTTCTTTGTCGGCTCGACGTCAAGACTTGTATCTTGTTCTCCACAATCAGTTAATCGAATAATAGCGTCTACAACAGAGGGTCTCTGCTATAAACGCTATTATTTTAAATTTTAATATTCTGGCAATTTTGAAATTGCGGAATTATTTCTAGTCGAAAAAAGGGCGCGCGAAAACTATGGATTTGATTAATTTGATTCATTTATTTAATAAGATTAGATCAGAGATCGGTACTTCTGTTTTAAGTATCGTTAATCTTGATCTCGATATCCAATGTGGGCACTAATAATTTTGAGAATAAATGTCTGAGCTCTCAATTAACGTTATCCCTGCAGAGTATGACCACCACGGGATATGGAAGAAGAAAAAAATTAATCCAAAGATTTGCATAATATATAGATCAATGCTTAATCCCGAAACTTACAACACAAGAATTCTGATGTTTTAATGTTTCTCCGTCTTGTATTTGTTAAAATGGAAAGATTAAAAGTTACCGTAAGCTATGACTTCAGGTACCACGGTTCCTTGCGACGTGGGAGTAATGTTTCTCTTCATGATGATGATGTTTATGCCGGTTCCCTCCGAGGTCTAGGACATATGGGTAAGTTTTCCAAAAATCATTTTTTTGGCACAATTGTAATCGAAAAGAAAGTGGAATGTCACTAAAACGACGGATTGGTGTTATTATATTAATTTTTAAAAAATCAGATATTTTTTAAACATTTCAAAAAAATTCAAATATTTTTCAAACATTTTAAGAAAGATTCAGATATTTTTCAAACATTTTTTTAAAAATTCAGATATTTTTTAAACATTCTAAAAAATCGGATATTTTTCAAACATTTTTTAAAAAAATTGAATTATTTTTTTTCTTATACTGAACTTTTTTTTGTAAACTAATAATTACAAAATCAACAGCAAAATTTGTAATTTAAAGAAATAACGAAGACGAGAAACATTTATATCAATTCTCAAAATACGATGTATTTTATTTGGCTAACCATGAATATTTATAAAAATTCTGAAAATGAAGCGACAATAAGAAAAACTAAAAAAAAACTTACTCCAACTGGAATATATGTAAATTACATTGGTAAATTTGATATATTACGGTATTTTTTTATTAATATCAAAATCTAACCGTGATTTTTCAAAATTCAGGAAAGACGAGCAAGGGTGCGAAAAAAAGTAAAAATAAAATTTCTTCAAATGGTCTTAACAGCGAACCTAATGGTGATAACTGTTATTTGCTTTGTATATTTAAGGGAGTGTTCGCCAATTTTGAGAAGAATTCATTCTTTTCCTTTTTCCCTTGGACCAACCATATCAAGGGGTTTGTTAATCTAAATATCGACAATGATATTCAGTAAATTAGTTTGTCATATCTGTGAAACCAAGCCAGGACAAAATGTCGGAATTCTTTGAGCATAAATTTTGGGAACTTCAACCTGGCTTTATTNAAAGTTAAAAGGCTTCAATGAAAAACAATAATACACAAGAAAAAGACACAAAAATTAATAAATAAGATTTAAAATTTGTTATAAATGTTATTTTTTAGGAAGAAGTAAATCCTCAAGTGTTAGTAATCTAGGGCCAGGCTCCTTGCCTTTAGGTCAGTAGGCTTGATATTTCAGTTAACGTGCAAAAAGTTTTGTTCTTATTGATTAGTGTTTTTTTTTAGATTAGTTGTTTTTTAATCAATTGTTTATTTTCAGCTGAGCAGTTTTTTATTAAAGAGTTATTAATTAGTAAATTGATGTTTAGTTTATTTATTCATTCTCGATTAATCTTTGTTTTATCTCTTTTTGATTGATTGATTGATTGATTGATTGATTGATTGAAATATTTAGGAATAAGGCACTCGAGGGGAGGACGGGAGTTCGATGACGGTGCTTCAGATATATCATTATCGAGCACCACATCAGGGTACAGATCTGGCAGAGGTATTCATTTATTCATTTATTTATTCATCCTTTCATTCATCCTTATATTCATTTATTCATTTATTCAATTATCCTTTCATTCGTCCTTCCTTTCATTCATTCGTTTATTCATTCATCCATTTATCCTTTCATTCACCTATTCATCCTTTCATCCTTCCATTCACTCGTTCATATTTTCATTCGTCCTTGGATTGAATTGACAGGGTGTTGTATTTTCATGAAAATTACTTCGTCTTTTGACAAAAAATGTCCACAGAAGTTCAGAGGGGAAGTAATTTATTTTTAGGGGAAGATAATCAACTTTTTGGGGTGAAAAGTATCTAAAAATTTTTTAAAAACCTGCCTCTGATCTCAGATTCTTAATTTTTTTTCTCCAGATTAATCAAAAGCAAATGTAAAGGAAAAATTATATACCCGGTCCTGTTGGGTGATTGATTGATTGATTGATAAAGTTATTCATTCATCCACATAAAAAAAATGTTTATGCTATCATTCAATCGCTTAATCTCTTTTTGCTCTTGTCATTATAATTTATTTGGTCGATTTTATGACGGGCAATTGGGTGGTTGACTAGGTTGTGGATTGATTGATTGATTGATTTATTGATTGATGTTAAGTGTCTGCTCGATTGTTCCGTGAGCCCGTGAGTAAATCTAATCGACCGATTATCATGAACGCGGTGGAGTACGTTGTCTTCCCTGGAGCAGTTAATAAAGAATTAAGGTAAATACAGTGGTCTCCAGAACAGATGATAAGTATTTTATTAAGTATTTCTCGGGATAAATTGAAGTTTGAGTTTTTTGAAAAGTCGATTTTTGACGGTTCATCTTAATCTTGTAAAGTAGTTCCATGACAAATCATAAAATACAAATTTAAATATTTTCCTGAAGAGACACAAGGCTCTTTCTTTTATATTTTGACCTGCTTTTTGTGCATTTAGCCTGGCGAAGTTACAATAATTTACCTTATTTATTTTCTCTTTGTGCATTTAGCCTGGCGAAGTTACAATAATTTATCTTATTTATTTTCTTTTTGGTTTCAATGAAATCACATTAATTTTCAGAGCATGATGGTTGACGGGTTTGTATCATAATCAATTTTCAAATAATAACTGATAAATTCAAAACTTAAATAAAATAACATTTATTTTTTGTATTTCAGGATGAGAGTACTAGAAGAGATAGAACGCTGTGATTGTCCTCATTTTCTCATTCTCTTTAGAGACAGTCGACTCCAGTTCAGGGGGCTTTATGCTTTCTATCCAGATACTGAAGAGGTTGTTCAGATTTGATTTGATTTGATTTGTTTACTTTGTAGAATCTTTATCTAATAGTGATCCTGCTTACTTTCTATTGGTTACTTGAATGTTGATTTAACCAATAGTGATCCTGCTTGCTTTCTATTGGTTACTTGAATTTTGATTTAACCAATAGTGATCCTGCTTGCTTTCTATTGGTTACTTGAATGTTGATTTAACCAATAGTAATTCTGCTTGCTTTCTATTGGTTACTTGAATGTTGATTTAACCAATAGTGATCCTGCTTGCTTTCTATTGGTTACTTGAATGTTGATTTAACCAATAGTAATTCTGCTTGCTTTCTATTGGTTACTTAATGGTGATTTAACCAATAGTGATCCTGCTTGCTTTCTATTGGTTAATTGAATGTTGATTTAACCAATAGTGATCCTGCTTGCTTTCGATTGGTTCTTTTATATCATTTTAAAAATGGTATATTGTAATCTTTGATTATTTTTTGTTCACAGCAAGCTGTAATCATATTGTTTGAATGTCAACAATATGATAATTTTCTTAAAATAGTTTTGTTAATATTCGAAATATTTTCATTAAACATTTTTTCTTTAGGTGTTTAAAATCTACGGAACTGGTCCTAAGCAGATAAATGATAATATGATGGAGCTCTACTATAAATACAACTCAGGCAAATCAAATCTTTCATGTCATACAAAATTTAGCCATAACATCCAATTTTTACAGGGGTGTATAGTTTCTCGATAATCATTCCACCTCTTTGAAACTAATTTTTTCCCTAGAAGGGATTTATGTTGGCGCGGAGAGCAAACATTTTTTTTTTTTTTTTGCTGTGTTGGGAAAATTAAATGTAATTTGTGGTAATTTATTGATAATTGTAATTTGATAATTAAATTATCAAAAAGAAAAAAAAATATGCCTTTTGATGCCCAATTTTTGTATTTTTTTTCCAAATCATCATCAAAAAAAATTCATTCATAAAGTCCAAAACACAAGCTCTTCAGAAGAAAGTACTTTTTTCGGATTGTATAAATAGCATAAACAAAAATTTTATTCTCCTGATTTTTAAGAACGAAAACTAACAACTTTTCCTTTTCTTTATTTCTCTAGATTTGGACTAAATGAAAGGTCTAGTTAGAACAGGGGCGGGGCAGTGCACCCTGCTGCCTGGGCGGTCTTGGGGGCCCACAATGGGGTCTCTTGCAGATTTCACTTCCTTATGATTCCTTATCATAGTTCAGCTGCTTGACTCTAATCTATAAATTTCCATCTCGCGACCAATTATTTATTGATTCAAGCTTTATCTCATTAAAAAAATAAACAAGATTTGATTTGATATTTCAGGGGGGAAGAAATTTACTCAGATTCATACGAAGCACTTAACCGTAACCATTGACGGGTTCACAATTCATAATAGTCTGTGGATGGGGAAGAAAACCAAACTACCCGATAAAAAGGACCTCGCCCTGGTTTTGTAAACTACTCGATAATTAGAATAATTATAGTTAAACAAGATATCCAATACTAGATGCTTATATCTGAACAATATTAAGACAAATTCTGTGTTTCCAAATTTTAGAAATTTTAACTTAACTTAGACATTTAACGATATTTTATCTATATTATCTTTTTAATTGTTCTGCCTGCTTTTATCATCTAAGGAAAATGTAAAAGATGAAAGTCATTTTGTGCTGGTAAAACTTCATTTTTCAAAAATAATATTTTAACTTATTCAAAATTAGTGCCATGTATAATTGATACATTTGAGCTGGGAACTTTTGAATGGTAGATATCGGGATTAATGCTTGATCCACTTTTTTTCTTAATCTCGAGACTAAATAAAGCTTGTTCTCCTCTTGTTATTAATCTCCAGATTAAGGATATTCCATTCTTAAGTTTTCAGCTCAGAGTATTATTCTAAAAGCCGCCAGAGCCGCACACACTGCTGTATGTGAACCATCAGGTTTTTAGTCAAAACACCTAATTTTTTCCTGTGGAATATATTTATATGCAGTGTACTGAGTTATAATCTTAAGTTTAAGAAAATGTCACCTAATAAAGTTTGACGAAATCCATTTTGATTAAATTGTAGAAAAAAATGTGTTTTGACTGGAAACCTGATGGTTCATTTTTATCAGTGTGCGCAACTTCTATCTGAACGGATTTAAATTGTTTGTTTCATTTTTGTTTGAAGTTAGGGGCACTTCTATATTATAATGACTTTTAACTTTTATTTTTTTCTTACTTCACGATCAAAACAGGGGTACACATGTTTTTAAGAATTATTACCTATTTTCCCTTAAAGAATAATTTAGAAAATTTTAATTTTAAGAATTTGTGGAGAAAAAACGTTAAAGAGGTTCATTTCTGATACACAACGGTACCCTACAAACCGTTGCCTCTACTTTTAATTGGATGGTCATTTTAAATTACGTTAATAGTCCCTTTAAGGGAAAATGGGTTTAAAAACAACTTTATATCCCTGGAGTAAACCCCTGTAAAATGTATCATGTCTGCATTTCAGAGCTTTTAGTAACTTTAGTCGTATTGTCCTTGTTTGCCATATTACGTAACATTTTTCGCCATTTTATGTAATTTTATGTTTTTGCGGATTTATTTCTCTCGTCTTGGTGCATTTATATACTCAGTCCTCAGGAGAAAAACCAAAGTATTTATGTGTTTCGTTAAAATTCTAGTCTAGTTCATTTCAATAAGTACATTTTCAACATTAAGGGTTGTATTCTTGTTCTACGTACCCTAACCCCATCCCTGAGCTTTGGAAATAAAATAAAAAATAAAATCTAAAATAAACGTTAAAAAATGAATACAAGAATATAACCTTTTTAAAAATTACCATTTGTCATAAAGTAACTTCAAGCTTATCTCACCCTGAACCAAATGTTTGCCTAACTCTGCCAAAATTGTCAAACCCCGAAGATCTCCGATACCCCCATGCAAAGCCATAATTTATATATATACTCCATAGTGTATAAACAACATGTGATAATCTTCACTGTTTGAAATTTATCAAGAAATTTTGATTAATTCTGATCATCATTTAAGCATTTCTTAAATCAAAAATGTTTCAGAAACTTCAAAAATGAAATAATTTTTGGGGCATCTGTTTAGGACTGAAGCTCCGTGTACATAAAGTAAGAAAAGGTAATTATTAGTTTGTTAATTTAAGATCATGACCACTGCTTAAGGATCCATTTAATTTTGATGCGCACTGAAAAAAATGGATCATGAACATATTTTTCTGATTTTTTCATTAAAAGAAAATTTTTGCTTTTTCTTGTTCTTTTTGGCTTATTTTTGTTTGCTAAAAATTTATATGATTTGGGTTTTTGAAGCACTGATCATAAATTCATTACTAAGCCTGATTGATTTACCACTTACAGATTTATATTTGTTCCTGTTACTCCATTAGCTAAAATGTAAATTATAACCCCGAGTTTACGTGGAATTTTGCGCATTTTCAAAATGTTTTTGTAGACTGGACGAATAGATGAGAAAATATAACAAATTGACTGTTAAAAATATTAAAAAATATAAACTATTATTTATTTCTGGAAAATAATTTGAATTCCACCCTCACCCATATATTTCAAATCCTGATTTGCAAGAAATGAGTTTTTTTTCTGCGAGAAATAATGTTTGTAATTAACACAAAATTAAAAACATTTTTATATTAACATTATATTAAAAACCAAATATTCTACAAAAATCTATTATTATTATTACGCTAGACTTTAATCACGATATGATTGTTTGAATCTCACCTCTGATGGTAGGTTGAGATCAAATCTTGATAATTTTTTTTAAAGACCGGATCATTTTATGATCATGAAAATGCATGACGCTAGTCTGAAATTATTGTATTACAGAGCAAGGTCAAAAAACCTAAAATATAAAAGCATTAGATCATTGACATTACAATATTTTTTTTTTATTTTCCTTTAAATATCTTCTGTATAAAATTCCTGAATAAATGTTCATGTTAGATTAAAATCAGAATTTGTAGATTTAGAAGTTCTTACAATTATAGGAGTTACAAGAAGTTTAAAACATTTCTTACATTTTCCAGGTCGTCTTGATTTTCCATCAGTTTAACTCCTCCTGGTAGCTACTCCTGTAGCTGAGGTTGTAGAACTACTCCTGTAGCTGTATTGTAAGGAATACTAACTCCTCCTGGTAGCTACTCCTGTAGCTGTTGTAGAGGATACTCCTATTAGCTACTCCTGTAGCTAAGTTTGTAGAAAGAACTCCTGCTCTTGCTCCTGGTAGCTACTCCTGTATCTATGTTGTAGAGGATACTCCTATTAGCTACTCCTGTAGCTAAGTTTGTAGAAAGTACTCCTGCTCCTGGTAGCTACTCCTGTAGCTTTGATCTACTCCCGTAGTTGACAGTAGAGGACAGGTTAACCCTTAAAAATCACCAGTGTTTTATAAATAAATGTTCACCTTAGGCTATTAATCCTGACCCCCGCTTGCTCATAGTTTATACTTAATGGTGAGAAACCATCTGAAAATATTCAGATTTAAAGAAAGAGGGAAATTTAAGAACTTCAATATTTTGCAGATAATATAATCACAGAAGAATCTTGCACTAGTCTCACTTCTCCGTTTAAGTCTCCTGGAATGGAGATTTTATTAATTGAGTTTCTTTTAGTTCTTAAATGTAACAATGATCAAAAAAGAAAGAAATACTTCTTATTGGCTTCTAATCATTAGTTAAAGAAATTTGTACTTTCTTCTATATATTCTCATCTTTTGTATTATTATAAATTTTGTTGATGAGTAGGTTTGGGGACAGCTGTATCCTCACTGCGGAACATTCCCTCGGTTAGCCTTGTCTACAGACTCCTTCAAGCTTGGTCGAGGCAGATCTATGGACTACGTTATCAGGAAAATATCAATAAATCACACCAGCACACTTACATTCTAAACTCTGTGGAGCACGCAGACGACATTTATGCAATCTTCTATGTTTTTAATGTTGTCATATGCTTTTGGTGGCCTTTGGACGGTTGGTTAGAAGATGAAATAGATATTTACATCGCGCGAAACTTGCTATTTTGGTGGTTTCATAATATGTATGTAGTTTCATTGGTGTTTTGAATAGTTGGTTGGTTGATTGATTAGTGGGTGGGTGGGTTGGTTGATTTATTGTTTGGTTGGTTGTGTGGATGGTTGATTGATTGATTGATTGATTGATTGATTGATTGATTGATTGATTGATTGATTGGTCCAGAGAGTCTGATATGGGAAGTGCTAAATGGTTGACTGCCGTGAGTAAAGTACAATGTGAGATAATTAAATCAGGAACAGAAGTTTTTGTCAGGTAATATTAGAACCTTGCACTTAGTTTAGTACCGTACACATTTAAAGTTTATTTAGAAGAAAAGAAAATGAAAAAGCTGAACGTTTTGTCACTTTTGTAGATTTTATACACTTCTACTTTTTTTGGCTACCGTGGATTAAAGAATAAAAATTATCTTGACTTTTATTTTTTTTTAGAGATCATAGCTCCAATGGAACCTGGTTAAACGGAAAGAAAATTGGGAAGAATAACATGAGACCTCTGGAACATGATTCAGGAACCGTCTCTTTCTAAACTTCAATTTTGCGCATTTTTGGATTACAATTTTTGCAGATTTCTCTTAGTACATTATTAAAGTTTCATATTTTAGTTTTTTAATCCTGTTTTCCAATTTTTTCTTTAAGTTGAAAATTGTGTAGTTTTTAATCATCGCACATAAGTTAAATTTTGAGGTTTTTCTTTTGAGAACAAAAATTTCATTTTTACCAAGTTTTGGTTGGTGTTTTTCCCTTGGTTCCGGATTCGTGAACACGCATATTTTTGCGTATCTGGATCCGGAAAGCCAAAGATCCAGATCCTGATCACTGCACCACACCTTCAGTATATTTATATTGGTCGTATTGAGGGGATTTTGAAGAAATTAGTTAACAGTTGAGGTTTGTTTTAATGGTAAAAAAGAATTTTAAAAAGGAAGAAAAAACTTGCCTTTTCATGTCCATTTTTCCTTTTTTGAAATGAATTCTTGAAAATATAACATACACCCCTAGATATTTATTCTTGAAGTTTATGGATGATGATTTTGTTAGAACTCTGTTTCTCCGCCGTCAATAAGAAGGTTTTCGTATTCCGTTCAATGTCAGCCCTTAGAGATCAGTTCCCATCCCAGCTCACAGATAAATATACAGTTAGCAAGGTAGGAACAAAAATTAAGATCTGCTATCCCTCCCTCGTCCATCTTACTTAACATCCTTTCCTACCCTCGGCCCCTTTTATCTTTAAGGTTAGATCTAGACTTTAATCTGATCCCTCCATCCAATTTTAAATCTACTTTTCCCCTCTACAATCCTAAATCTCCCTCTCCCTCCAATCTCAAATCTATTATCATTATCCAAAACTTTAAATTGCTTTCCCTTACCTCAACCTTTAATATGCTTTTCCTTCCTCCTACCTTTTTCTTCTCTACAATCTTAAATCTGCTAAATCCTTCTCTCTATCAATCCGAAATCTACGAATCTTATACAAAATCTTACATATATGCGTTTTGGCATAATTTTGACACAGTTTAATATTAATTTCTCGAGACAGGAACATCAGATAGAACTCTTACAGGTATCAATCAACTCCTGAGATTCTCAGGTTTCATTCTATATTCCCTTTCATTTTTCCTTTACAGTCCCTTTAAAGCGATCGTTCAGTTCCTTTGTTATATATCTAGTTATGGAATTTGAATTAAATATTTATTTTTATCGATATTTATATCCTGAAGTGACTATCTGTATTTTTTACAAGTTTTGTTGAGATTAAATGATATATTTTTAACACTAGGCTGAGAGAATATCAGAAATATGAAGACATTAATTTTTTTATGAAAATCCACAAATTTTTGTTAAAATCCGCGAACTTTTTTTGTTTTGTTTTGCAATTACACAAAGAGAACATGTTCACAATTAAATTGAAGATACGATTAGTATTTATATAATCACAAAGAATAACAAGAAACTAATTGCATGTTAAATGTACATAGTACAACTATAATGATGGTAATAGTAAACAAAACAAAAAATTTGTAAACATTTACGTTAAAAAATGACACAAATTTGTTTTACAAGGGGTACTAATGTATCTTAATTGTACAAATATGTATCCTCTTGGCTTCAATGGACTTAAAGAATGTCGTCTTCTAAATATATTCGAGCTGGGTGTTTGTCCAGTCTGGATTATGTGTACATCATTTGCCCAAAATCTGTTCTTGTTGATAACTTTAATTTATCTTTTTTTTTGGAAAAATTGAAATTTGTACCAAATCCGTTTCCTGCGTCTGTTTTCTTTGTAAAATAAAGTTAGAACTTAAAGATCAAAATAACATTTGTCAGATTAAAGGGACTGTCAATGTAATTTAAATAGAAACATGGCCCATCTACATCAGTACCTTTCAAACCTTAAAATGATTATTAAAATTAGCCGAAAAAGTGTTTAAATTTGACAATTTCCTCCCTTGTTTCTGTTGCAGAAATCCGCAAGTTTCAAATGAAAAAAAAACCATAATTAAAAATATCCCATTGTTGTAGAGAAATCATGGATAACTCGTTCATTCTTGATTTGACAAAGCTTTGAATTTTATCGTTGTGAATCGGCTCTGCCAATCTATAAATGATGGGTTACTTGAAACTACGTCTACAGTCCCTTTAATTTCGATTTTTTATCAGAATTATGAACGAGGTGAGAATACTGAGAACTGTTAAACATCCTTGTATCATAAACCTGGAGGATGTTATAGATACTCCAGACTTCCTCTTCATAGGTAGGAGTAGAGGGAGTAGAGGGAGTAGTAGTATGGAGTAGTATTTGTGTAGTATTTTGAGTAGTATTTTGAGTAGTATTTTGAGTAGTATTTTGAGTAGTATTTTGAGTAGTATTAGGAGTAGTAGGAAGGAGGCGTAGGAGTAGTAGGAATAGGAGTAGGAGTAGGAGCAGGAGTAAGATTAGGAGTAGAAGTAAGATTAGGAGAAGGAGAAGGAAAACAATAATATGCTTGAACACAGTTCTGTAAAAATAAAAAATAAATTTTGTTTAGTTCTTGAGCTAGCTGAAGGTGGGGAACTTTTTGAAAAAATCATAGAACGGACAAAATTCAATGAACCTGAGGTATGCGCCATATATGCATTTTTTTAAAAATAAATTACTTTGTAGTTTTTTACGATTATTTATCATGATTTTGCTAGTTTTCATTTATTTTAATGTACAGTTAGTACGTATTCTTCATTAGTAAACTTTGTAAGATCTTTATTTGACATTCTAAATTTGTTTTCAATGACAAATTTAATGCAACCTAAGTACTCAATTTTTATGACTTATTAAGAAACGACATTTTTAATGTTAAACATTTTTTAAATATCTTTTTTCGGATATACTACATTTTAGATTCTTTTGTAGAGGCAAAACTACATTTAAAATGATGTTGTAAAAGCATGACTACATTTTTCATGTTTTTTTTAGGCGAAACTACATTTTTACCAGATAGCTTCAGCCATGCAGTATCTACATTCAAAAGTAACTTTTTTTCTTTGCCTAATTAATTCTTTTCTATTTATCTATCTATATATCTACCCATCTTTCTATCTATCTATATATATATATATATCTACCCATCTTTCTATCTATATATATATATATCCATCTATGCATCCGTTTTTATGTCAGTATTAACTATCTACCTATCTACACATCTATCTATTTATCAATTTATTTAAATATCGTTCTATCTAATTAATTTCTATCTATCTAAAACTACTGAAAATCGGCCACAATTTGATTATTTATCACCAGAATAAATTCTAAATTCTATTCATCTAACTATCTATCTATCTATGTTTACGTATATCTATCTCGCTTTCTATCCATCTATATATCTATCTATCTATGTATACTTCTATCTATATATCTATCTATATATCTATCTATTTATCTATCTTATAGAATATCTGCCACCGTGACCTGAAACCTGAGAATGTTCTCCTCTGTTCCCTGGATGACTCGAGACCTGTCGTAAAAATCACTGATATGGGAATGTCAAAACTTGTCGATCTTGGGACAGTTCTCAAGTACGTTTTGTTTATTTTATAATGTAGATGTTTCTCAAGAGAAAACAGTCCAGTCCAGTCCAGTCCAGTCCAGACCAGTACAGTACAGTACAGTACAGTACAGTACAGTACAGTACAGTACAGTACAGTACAGTGAGGAAGGGAATCCCCGGATGCCATGAGCCTTCACTATATACAGCCTCAGACATACTGTAAATAAAGCAAATGAGGCTCGTTACGGTAAAGCGAAGGCTCACGGCGGCCGGAGTTTCCCTCCCTCATACAGTTCCCTCCCTCATACAGTTCAGTTATTTGATATGCAAAGATATCCATACCCGCTTTAGCGATACCCTTGAAATCTTAATCTGATCAAAAATGTGGGAGATACCGTCGTTTTCCTGACTCGAAAGGTGTTTTGTGTTGTTTTTCCACCAACTACAATACAATACTTGAATAAACTAAGCTTTTGTTTATTTTAGAACATTTTGTGGAACTCCGAATTATCTCGCTCCTGAGGTTATTAAGATGGCGCACAGTTCATTCGCCAGCTACACCGTGAAGGTCAGCAGGGTCATTTTTAAATATTTATCAGATTTATGATCATAGCATTATTTATAAGGGACTCTAGTCGTAATTTAAAAGAATTAAGTAACATGTCCGGTTCACAACATTAACATTTAAAAAAAAACTTCCGGGAGTTATCCTTTTTTTGCGGTTCCCTAATAAATCTGCAAGATTTATGTAACAAAAGATGAAAATTTTATAAATAAACACTTCATACGACGATATGAAGCATAGAGGTTCACTTGAAGTTATGTCTACAATCCCTTTATTGATGTTTGTTTAAATAGTTCAAACGTTTTAGGTTGATTGTTGGTCATTGGGAGTAATTCTATACATTCTTCTGTCAGGAACCCCGCCTTTCTGGTAAACTATCTATCTTTATCCACATTTTTTATTTTTCATATTTAATAGAGCAAGATTCATAATTTTATTTTTAAGTCTCAAACCACTGTATCAGTGTCATCGTTAAAACTAACCCACGATAAATTGCGGGATTTTTTTATTCTCTGTTCCCGCATTTTGGTTTCTTGGGGGAAGACGATATTTAGACGATCTTCTGTTTGTTTTCAGTAATGAGAGGCAGGGAGGTGTACCACTCCGGACACAGATATTAACAGTAAGTTTTTATATAGACAGGGAAGGATATTGGGCTTGTTTACTTATTTCAAAATACACATAAATTGGGTATTATGAGCAGGCTAAAGAATTAAAACTGGGGTGGGATTGATTGATTGATTTCATGTTGTTGGCTTCAAGTGGCAATCACTGTTGTAATTAATGGAGAAATTAACTTGTGAATCTAGGAGAGAGGATATTTTCTAACAATAAAGATATGTTGGTTTGATTTTTTGATTAACTCATTGGATGATAGTTAAATTCTTTGATCTGTAATGTTATATGATCAAATATTTGATTGATTGATTGCTTATCTACCCAGGCGAACTATGTATTTTATCCTCAACTGTTCAACTCTGTCTCGGAACCTGCCAAGGATCTCATCAGAAAACTTTTGAAGGTTACAAAATTAAAAAAAATTTAAAGTTTAGATATTTTGAAAACTTTTAAGAACAATCTTTAAGGTTGGAACAATTTGTAAACTTGAAATGTCCTAATTATTTTTTGTCAATTAAATGTAATCGTTACTAAAAAATATAGATAAGAAATTTACTTTTACATCCAAATGTATACTTAGCTTGCCTGTCTGTCTTCTGTTTGTTGGTTTGTTTGTTTGTTTGTATCCAATAAACGTAAATAGGACTGAACTGATAGAGCTCAACATATTTGAGACAACTCACATATATAGCATATATATTTTGAAAGAAAAAAATAAATTTCACTCAATGATGCGGTGAAAAATTTGATACTTTGATCAATATTATCTAAAATACTTTAAAATGTTTTTGTTCTAGGTAGAGCCCGAGGAAAGATTATCTGCTGATGAAATAATGCAGCATCCTTGGGTACAAGATTCTGTTGTCAGGTACATCCTTTTTTTGAAGGATATTTTTTTAATCCCCCCGGGCCCGTCTCGTTTTCAACATCAGTTAAATAATTACCTATACATTTTTTCTTATCAAGGCTTGAATTCGATTATGAAGGGGAAGTTAATTTTGAAAAATACTATGACATTGACATTTGTGAAGAAAAGATTCCAGTTAATCGTTTTCTCCAAATTTGTTTTCCTAATTTTTTCTCTTTTTTTCTTCAAGATTTTTAAATATTTTTGGAGCTGGAAGTTAAAATTAAGGGGGGGATATAAAAAAATAGGCAAGTTTTTTCCCCACCTTTTTGATACTTATCATCTAAAAAATTATTTAGGGAAAAAAATCTCAATTTAGCAATTATTCTTGCAATAAATATAACCCCTTACTCAAAGAAAAATGTACAGCCGACTTAGTAAAAATACTTGTCATCTAAAATATTAAAAATAATAAAAAATCTCATCATATTCTAAGCAACTATTCCTGCAAGAAATGTAACCACTTACTCAAAGGAAAACGTACAGCCTGCTTAAAAAAAAAATATTTTACAGGAGTAATTTCTTTGCTTGTTATTTCTCAATTCAAAATGGACGAATGATCTTAACATTTTTACTATATAGTCATACTGCAAAGAGTATAATGAAAGAGCAAATGGATTTACAAGCTCGACGATCCTTCCTTCTCAACAAACCATTTAATGTACTGGCTAACCATCCAACCAACCTACCAACTAACCATCCAACCAACCTACCTGCACCAGTCTGCTCCCCTGTCTCCGTCACAGTTATGAAGAGAAATGTACCAATGGATGTAGACACAGGTAATAGGATCAATGTATAAACGAATAAACAAATCAACGAAAGGATGAACGAATTAACAAATAAAAGACCAAATGGACAAACCAATCAACGAATATTATCACTAACAAACGAATCAATAAATAATTGAATAAACAAACGAATGAGCGATGATATCATAATGATCAAACAAATACCCGAACCAACAACAAACTATGTCACGAACACATGAACACACAAACCAACCAACGAATTATACCATGAACAAACGAACAAATGAACGAACTTTTAAGAATGGTAAAAACCATTAGATAAACTTATTTACCAAGTATATAAATATTAATCTAGATTGTGGTCCTGAGAAGAAGAGCAGGGTGGAGATAAATCTTGTCCCACAAACGGATTAAACTAATCCGTTCGGAACTGTTCTCTAACATTTTTGCTAAGTCCGTTGTCACAGCCAACTCTTCTGTAACAGCTGATCCTGTTGTTTAAACTGTTAAAAAAGACAGTTGACAGATGAAAAAGCATAATCACGTCAGCTGCTTTATGTTCGCTGCTTCTATGAACTGTTTGCACAATCACTTCAGAAGCTTGATGAACACTGCGACTATGTGCTGTTTACAGAATTTTTAAAGTAGTTTTTTTATGCTGCTTTCCAGGGCTGGTAGCAGAATCTCCACTCGACAATATTTTACATACCTAAAGGAATTGTAAGCGTAATGTTTAAGTGAACCTCCATGCAAAGATGACAATGCCCGATTCACAACGGTACCCTTAAAAGCTTTGTCTGATTAAGTATGTGTAGATTACAAAGTTTAAAATTTGGAAAAATGATTTTTTTAATTGGGGTTTCTCTTCATAATTAATAAGTGTATTTTTACTCCAGCAGAAATGACTATATCATCCACATTATTGATCAGCTAAAGGTTTCAAAGGTACCGTTGTAAATTGAGCATTAGCATCTTTGCAAAGAGGGTCTATTTAAATTATGCTTGCGTCCCAAAAAATACGCTTTTAAACTGCCTCAGTTCTCTTTTTTAAACTAGAAATAGTAGCATTTAGTAATTTCGTATTCTTTATTTTTTTCGACTTATTAGACACGTTTTTAACATTATTATAAAAATACTGGTCGAAATTATGAATGATAAAACAAATTATAATTACTATAAAATTACATTTTTGTAAACGATAGTATATTAATTCATACTGGGGTAATTCATTTATTATTGATTATAAATTCCTTTTTTATTAAAAATTATTTCTGACACTTTTCAATTTTGAACTTTAATATTATAATGCAGATTTTTCAAGGTTTTGGAGCTTTTAAATTTACCCTCCCCCCCCCCCTTGATGTTTAGCAATAGTGCCTTACAATAACGACGCTGTTAAAGCTAAAAGTGATACAATATTTTTCTCACTTTTTTAGTACATTTTATATGGAATATTAATGCGAAGTAAATTATTGTTTTCTTTTAAAACTAGCTTTGGTAAAAGCTTCGAACATTTTCATATTCATCATCACGATCGCTTTATCTCGATATCCACTGTGGAAACCTTTATTTTGAGGATTACTGCTTCATTTCTTTTTTTCAGTTATCCCTTCAGGGTACGATTCCCATGCAGCAGGACAAAGAATATAAATTATATTAATCCGCAGAAAAACAAAAGATCGAGATAAAGCATTGATTGATTTTTCACACAAAAAATTCTCTGCTGTTTTTCCTCATGTTTTTGAATTCTAATTATTACCCTTAATGGACAGTCCGTGTATTTTAAGTAGCCCATACACGACACACAACCACGATCCTTCAAATCTTAGATTGACAAATAATAATTAAGTTATCGTCCTCTTTGTACAGGTATGGGGCTAATCTTGTCCATTTTCTTGCTCACCAGAAAAACTGAGTTTTTAAAATCGTATCGAAGTTAAGCACGACCTGGACCTTTAGAAGAAAAAATTCTTCAGTTGATGGTTTGATTTAGGGTCATTAAAGGATGCTGATGTGAATGTGTTATCACAATGAAAGGTCCTTTTAGTTATCACGTTAACAATCATAAAGTCCATTTTGATAAATAGAAAAGAAACCTATCTGTGGTCAAACTTTATATTATACCTCATGTTTATTAAATTCCACTGTAAATACAAACAAAATTCATTCTTACCGTTTTCAATAATAAATCATAGTTAATTATAAAACATGCAATTATATGAAATGTTTAATGTTGTGTACTCTGTGTACATGTACTATGTACTGAGATCAGAGTACAGGGTTATTCACCAAGGATGAGACTTCAATGAGGCCCACGAATCTTGTGCACAATCAATCGTAGTTTCAAGTGACCCTCCATGCAAAAATGGCTCACATCGGTACTATTGAAAGCCCTTTTTAATCAAGTAGGAATAAGATATCCATGTTTTTTTTTCTTTCAACATATTTTCACTTGTGGATTCTCTTCAAAAGTTACTTGCACATTCTTATAAGAAACAATGGAGAAATTTTTAGAATTGATACTTTTAGTGTAAAAAAAAAACAACGTTATCTTTCACACGTTTTTTATCAGATAAAGGATTTAAGATTACCGTTGTGAACCGGGCATTGCCATCTTTGCAGGGAGGGTCACTTGAAATTACGCTTACAGTCTCTTAAAAATATTCTATTTAGCAAAACATACTGAAACCAGTATTATTAGAAATGAAGAAAAGTTGTCCTTAAGTCTCATCCAGTGTGGGTAATCCTGTCCTATCAATCTTTGCTCACGTTTCAATAGATCATTGATAAATATTTTTGTGATAAAACATATTTGAGATAATTGGTATTTTTCTAATGCTTGCAATACCACGACAACAAACAATATTGTCTTACCCTTTCATTTCTTCAAAATTGTAGTTTTTTGCAGTTCTCGTTCCATTCTTATTGGTGGAAATTTCATAGACTGAATTTTAAGATCAAGAGCATTAAAGAAAAATTATATTTTTATGTCGTAAACTCGTTAATTTGAATCGAATATGTAAAATATAAAATATGAATAAATTATTTTTAAAAAGCATCTAAAAACTTATTTTTTAATTTTTAGTTTATAACATACAGGACTCCCAGGTCGCTTCGCACCCATCTTTGATTTGACATTCGATGTTGTGCATCCGACCTACAGAAGAGTGCAACCAACTTTATAAAGCTGTGCAACCGACCTAACGTAGGTCGGAACCACTAACTTTTATTAAATGAAGTGTGTATCCGACCTACAGTACAGATCGGAGCAACAGCAGCTTGAAGTTGCTGAAAACTATGTGCGGGTAGGTCCGAAGTATCGTGGGACGGATGTAACGTTGGCCGGATGTAATACAATCGAAAATATATAACTTCATGAAATTTATTGTATCTATATTTTTAATTCGAGTTTGTTCAGAAAATATACTAATAATGTATTTTAAGGAGTTGAGTTCTTGCTACAAACTTTAATTTTCCTATTTCTATTCTATTTCAAAGACCTTTGATACTTCAAACTATGATTTCTGTTGGATCAAATATCAACTAGTTACACCCTCAGGTTGCTAAGATATGAGGATTAGGAAATTAGACTTAGTTGCAAAAACTCATTTCCTCCGACTCGAATAAAGTAAAGTACTTTTTTGAGATATTTTGGTATATTTGCCAAGAGGCACAACTAGGACTTTTGCTAGGGGGGGGCAATATATTATTTTGTTAGGGTTTGGGTGGGGTTAAGGGGGGTTTCCCCCACTTTTTCGAAAATTTTTCAAAAACAGAAGTGCTTTTTTAAGGGTTTGAAGTCGAAAAAAAGGAAATTTTAAGTTGTTGCATGCAGATTTGGCTGTGTTCAATTCAAATCGATTTTTTGTTCTTGTGTTTTTACAAAATTTATACTTCCAACAGCTGTAAAATGAATGATATGAGTCAATTCATAATCATTGAATATGTGTGCGAATCGCAAAAGAGTATTTTTTTTAAGTACCTGGTTTAATTACAGATTAAATTGCAAGAAATAATCATTTATAGTTTCTGGAAAAAAAACATAAAAATACATAGGTAAATAATAATTTCAATCATCTACATTGAAAAAGGACAGATAATGTTACCTTTTCTCTTGAAGTTATTGAATTAATGATTGATCTAACCAACATTCATAATCTAAATTCATTTTCGATTTTACAGAACTTCTGTCAAAGAAGATAAATCTTGTTAGTTATCAAATATGATAATCAGTTAGAAATTTGCCAGGTTCAGAATTTTCTCTAGATTTGGAACTGATTTTTTGCCACAAACTCAAATATTATAATCCCTAAATCTTTGCACCGAGTGGTGTAAACATTTGATATTTCAAACTTGGAATATTTTACCAAAAGAATTTAAAGTTTGATATCTACGAGTACTCTATAAACTCAACACAAATAAAATACAGTTCAGAACTTTTTTACATTAAATGTTTACAATTGCCTTAAGCCTTGAGAATTGAGAAAGATAAAAATATATTTTTTTAAACTAACTATTGTATAATATAATTTCTACAATAACTCTTATTGGTTTTCTTGTTCCTGTGATACTGATTTTCGCCATTCTTTCTTTCGTTTAGTAAGGTACTAGTAAAACTAGTTGATTTTAAAAATATCAAATACTCTTTAATTTGGAGTGGGTCATCATACATTTGGTCAATTACTACATTTGGTCAACTGTTACAAAACGTCAACTGATACATTTCAGCCCACTACATTTGGTCAACTGATACAAACACATAAATTTTGTAAATTTTGATTTACAAGGTTTCTACATTTATACATATATTTAGAACGCATATGGTACAATTCTGTACTAATAAATTTTAACTCTTCTCAACCAACTTACTTGAGTGGTTGTAAGTATTTTTAACGTTTTTGATAAATGCAGCATCATTTCTCTCTATCGTGGAAGCAGTTGCAGTGCATCCCAATGAATCACATAGCCTGCTTCAACCTAGTATCTGGCACCCCAGTCTCACTTTTAAACTTTACTCAAAGTTCTGACGATCTATCAAAATGTTCTTTTTCCTGCTGGACAAGATGAAATTAGCACGAGCCCAGTTTTCCATGTTGAATCTAAGAACTTTAACTGAAATCTTGAGTTGTTGCGGAGTTAATGTGCAAATATTCGCGGATTTGTTAAGTTGATACTCAAGCTGGGACAGTGGGTATCAAGCTTTCAAATATGAAAGTTGACCAAATTTTAGGCCATTGCCACAGTTGACGAATTGTATTAATTAACGAAATGTAAATTGTCCAAATGTAGTAGTTGACCACATGTAAAATTGACAAAATGTAGGATGACGAAATGTAAATTGAAGTAATGTATCCACTTCAATATCGTCTTCCTCTTCCACAGTTTTCTGGCTCTCTTTGTATTCTGCAGAAGCAAAAATATCAAATGATCAAAAAATGTACGCTAAAAAGTTAGGACAACCATTTTTCTTTCAAAAATATCATACAATTTTACAATAAAGTTAATTTTAAAGTTTAAGGTATTCTTGAACATATTTTTATGATAAAAAGTCTGTAAATGCATGCTCTCTCTTTCACCCAATCTTTTTTTATTCTTTCTCTTCTCTTCTATTTTCTACTCTTCTCTTCTATTTTCTTCTCTACTCTTATCTTATCTCTTTTCTTCTTTTCTCTAATCTTCTGTTCTCTTATCTCTTTTCTTCTCTTCTCTTAGGCCAAAAATATAAATCCTGCAAGTTTTTAATAATGGAACAAGTTTAAATTGGAAATATAATTTCCCTTATAATTTTTTTATGAAACTATTTGTACTTTATCATTCTTTCTCAAAAATAGGATATTTTTTTCAGTTGAAATAAAAATAAAATTGAAATCACCTTCATATTTGAACTTATGATTTGTTTAAAAGCTTATTGCTTCCAGAATTATCCCCATGGACATTAAAAGCGATTTTTTTCAGCCTTTTATATACTTATAATTAATTTTCTTTGTCTCTTCATTTTTCAATTTCTATGAAAAAATATATTATGGTAAAAAGAAAATGTAGAATTTATCTTTATTATGAAAAAATAAAATGTAAGAAAACGAGAATTTTATATTTTCAATTATAAAAGTTAAATAATGCAGATATTCCTCAAAATGTACTTAAAATGATGGGACTTTTAAGTTTGTGGTAAAAAGAAAAGTTTTAAAAAATGGAACAAGCTTTCTCTTTCTTTGAGAGGAGCATTTTGGACAAGATCAAACATTTAATTGTGTATTGCTAAACTTCATTTTTCGGAGGTGGAAGGTTGGTGGAGGGGGGATTTGTCTTTTTATCTTTTGAAATAATTCTCCCTTTTAAAATTAAATAGTAAATCCTTGTAAAAATGCAAAAAGTAATTAAAGAAGAAAGTTTGAAAGTTGTTAAACTGTTTAAGACAGCCAGCATATATAAAACATAGAGATACATCTTAAAATTCAATTCTAAGAACCCCCCAAAACATGCAACATCCAAAAATTTTACTTTTTGAACTTTTATTAAAAAAATGTGCATTAAGCTTAAACACAAATTCATAATCTGTTAAACCTTAGGTCTAATTAAATGATACGTGGTGGGGGTTGAAAAATGTTTATTGGTTAAAACTTGTTACGGAATATATGGGAGCGTTATTACTGTGTAGTTAGTTTCTGTGGGAGGATTTAGGGAGCTTCTAAACTGCTGATATTGACGAATCTTCAGAACATCAAGGAGCAGTCTGGAGCAGAACCGTAGAAGGCTGCTTCTGTAGGGAGCTGATTGCAGCCGGTATAGATGAACCGTTAGAGCTGTCTGAAGCAGAAACGTAGAAGGCTGCTTCTGTAGGGAGCTGCTTGAAACTGCAGGCGTAGATGAACTTTCTGATCCAGGACTTGGTCCGAAAATGATAACTCTATTCTGATTTTAGAATATCTATAAAATCCCCTTTTGATGGTACAGAGTTGGTTTAGAACTCCGGAGCTGCTGGAAGATTAGCTACAACTGATAATATCATCTTTCCAAGATTTCAACGTTAGGTTTAAGGCGTAACCTTAACCTTGAGTCTATACTTAAAAATACACAGTGCTCACAGGATGTTCACAAAAAATACAAACATATAAATACATTTTAACTATTCATAAAAGCACAAATATCAATTCTTAAAGAATCTGTTACATTCGTTTGTGAATTTTACAAAAAA